GGACGGACGGAGCTTAATGCTATATCCCCCGCTTCGCGCTACCAACATAGATGAAGGAAATTCGACACACGGATGAACATATATTGTTTGTCATTGTCAGCATTAATTCCCTTTCTCATTGCACATGTGTGGACACAAGGGGGCGTTCAGGTCAGTACCTGGTGACACCATGCCTTGCAGCCGTCACTGCTCGACACCGCCTTGGAAGGGATTGCACAGCCGTCGGATTTGTGCTTGGGGTATTCTTCGCTATTCCTCCTGCAAGTTCTGCAAGTGGCTGAGGACGATGGTGACGTTTACGGACGTGTCGATCAAGTTCGTCCCATAGATGCTCGGGTTCAGGTCAGGCGACTTGGAAGGCCAGGGAAGGACATTGACGTGTGCATTGGCGAGAAGGGCACCTATTACACGAGTTGTGTGGGGTCGAGCGTTGTCGTGTTGAAACAGCTCCCTCTGGCGGTTAAAAGTGTGTGTGGTCGCAGGATTTGGTCGATTTGGCGATTTGCTGTAAGATTGCCTTGAACCACCACAAACTCTGATCTACCCGTGTATGACATGGCTCCCCATACCATGACGCTTCTCAATCAAATCTGCATGTCCACTTGTCGAACGTAGTTAGGCGCAAAATGTTCGTGTCGACGTCAATAGACACGTTGTCTCCCATCCCACCGTTGCAGGAGGAAACGCGTTTCATCGCTGAACCAAACGCCTCGCCAGTTCCCCAGGTTTCATGCCTCTACCCTGTTGCACCATTGGACTCGTCGTTGTCGGTGTAGTCGTGTCAGGACAGGTCCAACTTTTGGTCGATATACTCAAATTCCCACTTCTCTCAGACGATTTCTGATGGTTTAGGCGGAAATGTTTCGTAGACCAGTCACCTGTCCTGCAGTGTTCTTTGCTGTAGCAAATCGGTGACGTAGGTGAAACATCCGGATAAAACGGTCCTGAGCAGGAGTGGTCACTCTTGGTCTTCCACTTCTGGGACAATCTTGGGTCGAATTGAAGCGGGTATATCGATGCCATAATCAAGATATGGTGTTGTGGTGGACGTTGAAGTATCTCGCAGCGGCAGACAGGGACCACCCTGCTTACAAACGTCCAATGGCGGTATTTTCGGCCAGATGCATTCTGGTATTTTTAATCTTCGTTTGCGTCGTAAATTTCGTAGTGAAATGATTAATTTGGTTTGGCCTTTTATGGTCGATGTGTCTACTTAGGTTTCCGACACATTGCAAGTGTACTGCGTGGAAAAAGTTTTTCTGCATGCACGTTTCATGTATCGTTTTCATTTTTTATGACAAACGTTTACAAACACATTTGGGGATGCGTATGCGCGCAATACACAACACGACATGATCAACGGGATTCAAACATGGGAATTGTCTTAATAACGTTTGCTGTCAATATATATCGAAATAAAGAGCTGAAAATGCATGTGCGTTTCTTTTTCTGCAGAGCGTGCTTTCGCAATGATCTTCACTTCATTAAATATACATGAGCAGGGGCGGATACAGTGTGTGTGTGTGTGTGCGTGCGTGTGCGTGCGTGCGTGCGTGCGTGCGTGCGTGCGTGCGTGTGTACTGTTATTTTCAGCAGTTTTCACGGGAGTTTCAATGCTCATTTAATAAAGTTACCGGACAAAAGGGGGATGCGCACGCCTGCTACCCCTCTCTGGATCCGCCTATGCATCTATATCATGTTTGTCAGAATCTTAGTTATGTTTCTCAATAATACACAATATAACATATCATGTTGTATTTGGGATTACACTTTCTTAGTAAAGTACAGACTCTAGTACATTTGTTGGGTTGAGTCCAATCCAGGATTCGAACCCTCACATATTGTGTGCTGGCGACGGTTAGGTGCCTGACTCTAAGGGTTTGGGTTCGAATCCGTATGGGGCTCAACCCAACAAAAGTACTAGAATCCGTACTTTACTAAGAAAGTGTAATCCCAAATATAACATATGTTACATTTGATCACTTTCTAAATGGCATTGTGTATTCATATAAAGAATAGATGAAATATTGTATTGGTTTAAGGTAGATATGACCACATTATATGTTTTATGACAATCTTCAAAATCAATTCTAATTAAACCAGACTGCACACTTTCCAGACATATTATAGGCCATGGACCCAAAGCCACGGGACCTCTCTAATATAGCAAGGGGTCAAAGTTAAAATTGTAGGTGAAGAGAAAACAATTTATCAAATTATTCCATCTCGTGTGTTATAAGAATGCAATGATGTCCTGAAAATATTTGTTTGTTATGGAATAGCATGGTGTTAAAATATAAAGATAAAATCTTAACTTTTTGCTCAAAAGTGGCTACCTCGGTGCATGTGTATTGAAAAGTTATAAAAACACCCTTAAATAAACATGTAGCAAAGCACTTTACATGAAATTTGATGTCACATATCGCCCATGGCACGTGTACTATTCAAAGAGCACAATGAACTCACTCACTTTTTGCGTGTTTTTTGACACCTGCAGTTCACATTCCTGATATTGAAAATTGAAGAACGGTTGATTAAAGGGTTTTGCCCATGGCCTTTAAGCTATAGAGAATGTGTGTGTTTTATTTCATTATTTAATATATTAATCCAACAATAATGGCAATAAGACTATAGGCTTCTCCAGTATAAAGGAAAGATCTGCCAAAAGAAACAAAGAATGTAATCATTGCTTCTACCTTCTCAATATAGTATACTGAGTCAAAAAAGAAACTTCACATTCTTTCTTCAGGGCACTATAAAAGAACAAGAGATGGTAAGATGGTGAAATTGTTATAATTTCATTGCTGAGATCTGTGTGATGTACTCGATACACTGACAGTGCCATAATCAGTTCCATTAGGCTACACCGCCGTTCCAAAACATGGGTATACAGAATGTCAAGTCACAAGAATAAAAATGCGAAATTTCTCAGTTCAATATCGTGTATGGCCGCCCTGCGCATTCAACACTGCCAAACACCGTCTTCTCATCGACTGCCTGATGCTTGTGAACACGTGGTTGGGGATTCTGCGCCATTGCTCTTGCAAGGCAGCACCAAGTTCCTGCAAATTCTGAAGTTGGTTCCTAAGACCACGAAGCCTTCTCCCAAGTGCATCCCAAACGTGCTCTATTGGATTAAGGTCAGGGGACCTCGATGGCCAGTCCATGACGTTGATTCCAGCGTTTTGAAGGAAATTTCGTGTCAACATCGCGGTATGCGGCCGAGCATTATCATGCTGGAACTGGGCCACGAGCCGCCATGGAAGGAACGAGTTCAGGGGTGAGCACCTGGTCGCGGTAAGCAGCAGCTGTGAGGTTTCCACGGATGACCAGAAGTCGGGAACGGTTGTTCCCACAGAAAGCACCCCACACCATGCAGCTTCCGCCCCCGAATCTGTCGACTTCCTGTACACAACATTGGGCATACCGTTCACGACGTCGTCTCCAGACTCTATGCCTGCCGTCCGCGAATCTGAGGGTAAACCTGGATTCATCGCTAAAGACGACTCGATTCCAGTCTCTCTGGGTCCATCGGAGGTGACGTTGGGCCCACAGCAGACGTTGACGTTGACGAAACGGCGTCAATATTGGCCCACGATATGGACGTCGAGAATTGAGATTGGCAGCCCGCAAACGATTTCGAATGGTCTGTGAGGACAGTCGACCTCTAAACATCTCAGCCCTGGTTCGTGTAGCCGGCAGAAATCTGTCACGTAGGTGACGTAGGACGATTTGACGGTCTTCTGCTCGTGACGTCACACGTGTACGACCCGACCTTGGGCGATCAGAAGTGGTGCCAGTTTGTTGTAGACGACCTCGCAAGTCATACACAGTACGACGGCTGCATCCCATTGCTCTTGCGACGTCAATAACTGATCTTCCCGCTTGCAACATGCCAACGGCACGTTCACGTTGCACATTTGACAATCGTGGCATTTCAAGTACCGTTAGAACTGTAGTTTAAAAGTGTTTTTTCAATTCTTGAGGCCAATGCAAACACGTGCATTTGAAGAAAAACTTCGATGCGAAGATCACGTGATCGACTGCACGTGCAAAACCTGATTTGGCACTAACGTCATTTGCACGACGAATTGATGGGTTTGAGTGGGTTTTGCTAACGTTTTTCTAGAGTCGAAAGATAGGAATCCCATTTCGGATACATAGATGTGTCATCAGAGAAAATTAATCATTATTTTTCAAATTACATTTTGTGAAGTTTCTTTTTTGATTCAGTATATATCTATTATACCTTTTAGGTCCAAATGCACCCTTGTCACTGTATGGCCAATGCTTCTATGTCCATGTGTCGAGTGTTGTGAAGTAATCGGTATCCAATATATCACAACATCGCATCAATGTTCATGTTCATGTTACAAAGCGATAAAATACGCACATAAAGCAGAGGAGTTAGTTTCTTTATGCCGGGATTAGCCATATACTATTATTCAATTATTAATACACGTCTACGAAATCACCGTCTACGAACCCGTCTGGGCTACGAATCCACCGCGTCTACGAACTGGTTCAGTCTACGAAATCACCGTCTCCCTTAGCCGTGATCATGTCGTTCTTCGTTTATTAACATATAAATATTCTCTTTAATAATACACATTGTAAACATTATAATAGATGTAAAATAATGTGAAATCCTTCATCAATCTAAGCAAGTGAGTGAGATGTTTAAGACTGTTGTAAAATTTGCAAATATGGGATTTCATTAAGTTCGATTCTGTGTGGCGGCAATGACATGTCAGGTACATCCTTGGAATAGATCGAGTGGTCAGGCTCGCTAACTTTGTTGACACATGCCATCGTATCCAGACTGCTTAGATCGATGCTCATGCTATTGATCTCTAGATTGTCTGGTCCAGACTCGATTATTTACAGCTGAAATATTTCAGAGTGCACGCAGCGTTCAACACATACAAACGAACAAACAGGTACATCCTTCGGCTGCTTTCCGATCCAACATTTACATCTTTCTAAGAAGGGGGGTAACTCTGAATTGTGTTTGGGTCAGGAAGAGGAAGGATGATGGTTTTCGTTTCTGAACACAGGTGAAGTGAAACTGATTCTTAAGCAGCGAGGGATTTTAACATATTTAATAAAATAAATCCGTTTTAATTTTGAAACTGAAACGAGATATTTCCGTCACAATTTTACATGGACCCTGGAGAGCGAGTAGCTGAAAGATATCACTTTGTGTAAATAGGGAGGGACACAGAAATGATAACTCGCATGAAACTGTCAGTGTGAGATACAACCAAATGATTCGTAACTGGTGCTTACTAATCACTGGTCTATTTCTTTTCACTAACTTTGAAGCAACTAATATGACTTATTATTGATCAACTCACCAAATAATTTGAGCTTTGATGTCATGTGAATACGAACTATAAATCCACATGAATCAGGAAAACAATAAATGATAGAAGAAACCAGAGATATAATTTTGGGATTTATATTGTTTTCTTCATCCCTAATAAAACAACTGGGAACAATGTTTCATAACATTCATTTTAAATGTATAAATTGGTTGGTTATACCAGGGATAATCTACAACAGGGATAGGTCACTCGCTTGCTTTCTTTACCATTTGTACTAATTAGCGTGTGCCTCATCATGCTCCAATGCACACAGCGACTTGGTTTGTTCCCAGCGCAACTTCGGCTGTGTTTAACAGTATAGGGGCGGTGGGGTAGCCTAGTGGTTAAAGCGTTGGCTCGTCATGCCGAAGACCCGGGTTCGAATCCCCACATGGGTACAATGTGTGAAGCCCATTTCTGGTGTCGCCCGCCGTGATGTTGCTGGAATATTGCTAAAAGCGGCGTAAAACCAAACTCAGTCAGTCAGTCAGTTTAACAGTATATCAGCCAGTTTATTGTATCAGTCGGAATTTTACAATGAATGAATGAATTTATTAAGAGCAATAATTATATGTGAATGAATGAAAGAAATAAAGAAAAAGAACAAAAGAAAGAAATACATATGTGAATGAAAGAATAAATGATACACCATCCCTCCCCAAACATGTTAAACAACGCAAAACTATCGCTAGAACACATGTGTTAACATCAGCTGTCCTTTTTTTTTTAAATCTACTTTGAGACATTTTTTACATTAGTAATTAATTCAGATATCTTATTGCATGTGTGGAATGGCATGGACATTGACAGAATGTTAACTGACACTGTCACACACCCCTCAAAAACAGAAAGTTTAGAACTATCACAAAGCGTTGTAAACACCTTTCCAGTTTTGTCAAATACTAAGATCAACAAGAAAGAAAGAAGTTTTAGAACTATAAGACTCAAGCATCACAAGCATCAATGGCGTATCAGAACAGATCGGCGATATGTCATATTTTTCACACAACTCAAATACATCCTAACAATGTTTTTTAAATTATAAAACTATCACTATTACTTGCAAACACCTTTCACCTGATGGTATATTCCCCTCATTAAAATTAAAGGTGTACGTGAAAGATGTTTTAGAACAATAACTAGAAACACTCAAACAACCCCCTGTAGTATTTCAATGGCAGATCGGCGATATGTCATATTTTTCACACACCTCAAATACACCCTAACAATTTATTTTTAGTTATAAGACTATCACTATTACTTGCAAACACCTTTCAACTAAAGGTATATTTCTCTTCTAAAAGTTAAACGAATATGTGAAAGAAGTTTTTAGCGATAGAATTTAGTCTTTTTTTGCTGTGTACCGAGAATTGAAGCCAGTGAGCTAAACATGCCGACTTGAAACTTTACTACAAATCTACTCTACTAGTACTGACACTAATAACAATTATTTGACTTAAAATGAAGTGACAGAATAGGTAACTTATCTTCTACATGTAAGTTTTCAGTTGTCACAACACTCAGCGAATGTAATCAGCTGTTGAAAATAAACCGGGCTCAACCTAAAAAACTACGCTACCGCCATATTGGCTACACTGGTCACGTGACGAGCTGAGGCATTATATAGTCTCCCTGGTTATACAGATTGATAATCTAAAATATTGTCGCTAACCAAACTTGTTAATTGATTATTGATATGAAATTGTGTCATCGATAATATTGTACATAAACTTGGTGATATAATAAAGTTTTAATTAACTCACACAATACACAATGGGCTGCTTCTAAATTATGTCCAGGACGCTGTGTTTTTTCATAGAAATCCGTGCATAAATTTGTTACTTTTCACCAGTGAAGGGAAACATATTCATTCTTTCAGACATTTGGCATTTTTGCTCAAGGTTACTTCTCCGATATTTATTGGTAATCAATCTATTTTTTGTTAATGATTATCTATCTCATCTTCATTTATTTACATTACATTTAAACACAGTCTGCTCCAGTCAACTGGCCTAAGCTAGATTTGAACTACAGCTGAACCAGTAAACTCAACATGTTTATGAATAAAACTTCTAACAATATTGAACATCATTTCTGATTTCAGGTGATGTTTTCTGAGCCAATCCCAAAGTCAAGACAAGACCTTCTCATCTCTGAACTAGGATCTTTCTCGCTGCACTGTACAGTGCTACTCTAACAGGTTCTATATTCTCTTTGCACGATCCACTATTCACCAAATCCTTTATTCATTATTTGTTAGGGACGGTTGGATAAAGTATTTTACTGGAAAGACTGGATTCAGAGCTTGAGACCCGTGAAGATCTGTGTTAGAATGAACCCATGTTTGTCGTAAGATGTGACTAACAGGATCGGGTGGTCAGGCTCACTGACTTAGTTGACACATGTCCAGGGCTCCAGATAATTTTTCAACATCAGGAGTACGTACTCCATATTTTTTCACTACAGGAGTACTGGAAACCTTAAGAGTACATTTAGAATACTGAGTGGAATTTAATGGCGTATCAGTAACCTTGTGTTTCGTTTCATATATGCACCACAACATTGATAGTCTTGTGTAAACAGGTCAATAAACAATAAACCAATATTTTTTTTCGGATAAATACGTCTGTAAATGATTCTAAGACCGTACACCATTGCTGTGGTGCGTACCTGCTACGTTTTCTAATTTTTTGGCTACCATATCGTGCATATTTTGTATCCGTACATACGCCGACACGGCCCTTATCTGGAGCCCTGTATGTCATTGTATCCCAATTCCATAGATTGATGCTCATGCTGTTGATCACTGGATTGTCTGATCCAGACTTGATTATTTACAGCCATATAGCTGGAATATTGCTCAGTTTGGTGTAAAACTAAACTCACTCCCTCACTCAGATCTTGAATTTGATATATGGTAAAAAATGTGAAGCCTGTTCCTGATATCTATTTCCTTAGTATTGTTAGATATTGTTGTAATGTTGCTGAAAGTGGTGTAAACATCTGCTCTCACAGTCACACTCACTCATTACTGTTATGTCTCTATAATTAGTTGTTTACAAATAGTATATTGTAAACATCATTACTTCCTTGTGACATGACATCATTTACCAATCGTGATGTCATTGCCCGAATGCATCATGGTCACTCTTGTACCAGCACTTGAATAAACATGTTGTGTTCGACCTCAAGCTCATGTCATCAATCGATAACTATACTTAAATGATGACGAAAACATGACAATTGCCTTTGATGTTTCTGTAGGTGATGATCACATAAAAGTTCCTCAATGGAGGCTGATACAGTACACAACCCTGGACCATCAGACCTGCCCATCCGAGAGCTAGCCTCACCTCTAAAAGGATGGGAATGTGAACTGTGTGGCTTCCAGTCCTCTTTCAGAACAAGCCTCATCAACCATCAGGCTGTCCATTCTGATGCACGGCCATTTGAATGCCAGATGTGTGACTATGCAGCCAAACGGAAATATGATCTCAAGAAGCATGTCATGCTGAAGCATAGGAGAGATGAATCATTCCTTGGCACCAATGTGTTTGACCATTCATCTCATCTGGAAAATATGAGTGGTGATATGTTCAACATTGGCAGGTCGACATCACCATTCCAGGCCCAGGACCATTGTCAGATTGATGTAAGTGCCAGTCAGCAGGTTGATCAGCTTTCTTCAAGACACAGTATTTCTCCATCTGAGAAAAGGGAAAAGTTCGTTTTTTCTCCGATAGAGAAAAGGGAAAGGTTGCATCAGATTGAGGTAAAATTGGAACCTTCTGATGTGGATGATGATGAAAGTGTAACCGACACTTACCGATTCCCATCTACTAATCACTTAAAACAAATGTTGTCTGGAAAAGAGTTTTTGAGTAGGATTGACAGTCAAGGCTTTAGGGGTGGGAAGCCCAAACAACTGAAAACAACCTTTGTTCTCAATAAGAAATCTGATTTGTTGCATCCTGGAACTCCTAGTTCTCAACACAACCGAGATTCCCTCACTACCTCAGTACCTCAGTTGGAACATAATCGTTTGAAACGATCATTGGAACAATCAGAATCAGAAAGTGATGGCAGCAGACGAAAACACAGACAAGCTTCTTTATCATCAAGTGAAACACCTGGAAAGTCCACTGCAGATGACTTCCCTCAGCAATTATGGAAACCGTCCAATCCAAGTGGTCGTCTGTTTGAAGAGGCCCCCTCCAGCCAATCAGAGATTCCAACACATTCTGAAGTTAGCTGTAGCTCAGTGAAGGAGGACAAGTCATGTGAGACAAAGAAGTCATTTTTATGTGGTTATTGTACGATCCTATATTTTGACCATGCCCTTTACCTGATGCACATGGGCCTGCATGGACGGAGGAACCCCTGGAGGTGCTCGGTGTGTGGAGAGGAGTTCGGGGAGAAGTACAGCTTCACTTCTCATTTCATCAATCAGCACAGCCAGGCTGCTTCAGGGGAGTAGCAGGAACATGTCGGGGACAGATCTGTGAAGCCACGATGACGAAATTGTTAAAGGTCTATTTCTCCCTTGGATAACGGTCATTTACCATGTTTCTAGGATCTGCAGAATCTACATGTTTGGGCAAATATTAGGGAAGTAATGATCATAGCAATAATAATGATAATAAGAATAAGTGCAAATGTGGATAACAGTGTTCCTGAACAGGCTGAAATACATGTTAAAATATAAATTCATACAGAGATGAAAGAAGATATCAATTGTGATGATAGTAATGGGAGGGAAGTGTGGGTGGGGTTAGCCCTGATAAACATATTGATTATAATGCACAATGATGATTATGATGATGACGATGATTGTAATGCACGATGATGATGCACACTCCGGCACAGCGATGACTTAACATAACATCACTGCCACAGGCTAATTTGCCTATCACGTGACCGGACTTTTCTCTTGTTTGTAATCAAACGAGCATATTCATAATAAGAAGAGACTGGACACACGAAAGCTTTTCGGCGCTCTCTTCATAATGTTTTACATTGTTACATATATATTCTTCCACAACTGCGACAGTAAGGTCTATGACAGTACATATTTAGATATCAAACTGGCTGCATCGTTTGCTCTCCGTCAGCTTCGATGACAGCACGTGGAGCCGTACAACCTATGTAAACAAAGGATCGCTACGCAAATCGAAATAGTGTTACATGTTTTTGGATATTTACTCAGTGAAACTAAACCATTCTATTAAAGATGTTTAGTTAGATGTGTTGACTCGTCAAAACTAAAAGAGGAAAAGAAATCTGTACATTATATTGAATGGACATTGCAAGATGTGACGAATCGTCACTTTTTTCTGGCCTGTGGCAGAGGTACTATGCTGGCTTGCCGCATGGAACTCTGGGTAGGAGAGTGGATGATGATGATGATGACTGATTAAAATCCACAAATGATGATGATGATTATACTGTATCATGATGATGATGATGATGATGGTAAACATATGTGAATCAGTATCAAATCTCTGCATCACTCCACAAAATTACATCTGACTGACAAGCCAATCTTCAACACCTCCCACCCCTAACAAGCGTTATTAACCTGATGTTGATGAAGTTGCTGTTGTTCTTTTTAACGATTGGAAATTTGGATATTCATAAGGTCATAGCCTGATACCTTATACCGCTGTATCATTGTGATTACTATATCTGTTGCGGTAGAAATACTTGATTCTGCTCAAAATGAAAGCTTTTCTAGGCACAGACATTGGTCTAGTTTAGTGAGATAATGGCAGGAGTTGCCTCCCTTGCCATCAAGTTATGACCGCACATTTTAAAAAACAATATTTATCTCAGTTACATGAGTCATTTCCCTCTATATCTTTTTAACTTATTAATTCAAAGAGATGTCCTAACATACCTGTGATAAAATGCCATAATGTTGTTGTGAATCACTTAACATAAAAACATGAGTGTCTGTGGTAAACACAATAGAAAGTATTTAAAGTTAGGAACCAACTGTTTGATATTTGTTATGTTTATTGCTGAAGTTTTATCTGGTTTTACAGCTGGAGCTGAAGAAAGTTTGTTTCTATAGAAGTTCATGAAATGGTCTGTCCCTCAGCTCTGTTGTGGAGCAATAATTATATGTACTGAATTACTGGATTCAAGGTAAGGTTGAACGGTATTTGGTCCGGTATTGCGAGTCAGATTACTCAGAGTCTGGTTTTGACAAATTCCACTGTACCTGTTACCATGATCTCCTTTTTTCAGCTGGCAGAGAATGAAATGGATCACTACAGATGTCCTAAGTAGCCAAAGATACAATTCAGTGTTTAATTATCACCGTCTTAAGAATACATCGAGATTATAACACGAGCAAGTATGTCATATGACATATGAAATGAGTGAAATTTTGTATTGCCCAAGCGAAACAATGAGTTTCGTATAAGTTGTGTAGCACACTTGCGAGTGTAATAATTTCTTTATTATCCATTTTATTGATTTACATTTGTGCAGTAAAACACGGTAAGTAAGTGTGACAGCCCTGTTCACTGACGTCACGTTCAATTGTTTAATGACATCACAGACGATGATATTCAGAAACAGTGATTGCTAGGCAAAAGTGATATGTGTACATGTGCACATATGATATATATGACATTGGTTATGTTTCACCATAAGGATAATAAATCACTTTATCAGATGCCAACCCACAGAATATTGTAAATTAAATGATTGTGAAAATCACATTTAAAATTAGTCTGCTGTCTATTTTATGAAAAAGTACATGTGATGAACAAAACGCTTTGTAACCCCCAAGGCATGCTGGGGGTGTTTGTATTGTTGTACACTCTTGTGCAAAACTAACTACCTCTGTTTAAAAAGAACAAGTGGGATGGGAACTTTTATGCATATTCATGTTGATTGTTCATGTTTATTAAAACTTAATCCCTTGACAAGATTATGTATCAGCAAGACCTACAGAACAGAAAGTGAATGAACACTCTGAAAGCACCTTTTCCTTGTTAAAGTGAATGCAAAGTATCTGTTCATAACAATAGAAACTGTGCTTGCATTAGATGAAATGTTAAGATTTACTGGCTTAGCCTTCACAAAATATTCAGATAATCATTTAGTTATCATGATCATCAATGAGGATTGTAAAAATATATATCTGTAAACCCCAAAATATAGAAAGTTTTCCAAATGAAGCAAATTCATGTTACTGTATGCATACTGATCAACATTTTATAGTTTTTATACAGTTTACATTTCTGTCTCTTGCTATTAAGAACGGGCAATTTATTACAGGAATGTTGGGTCAGAGGTTATTAATGCGTTATAAAAGGACTCTCCCATATATGGTAATATTTTTGGATGACACGCCATGTCCTTGAACATTTGTCTGTGATTCTTCCTGAATATACAAAATGCAAAAAAGCATATTTATATTTTGGTATAAAAGATCATTTTTTGCATGATATGTGTATTTCTATTTATGACCTTCCCTTAGAAACGGTCATATTTTTTAATGAGCCTCCCTGGTGACCAGTCACTGACCCCAGTAACTAATCTGACTGACAGAAAGATCATCATCATGAACAAAGGTTGAGAGTTGTGTATTTTGACCTGACCTGGTAATGTGTGGCTGGTTGCATGGAACTCTGGGTAGGAGAGTGCAGAAAAGCATCCTGTCTTTATCCAATAAAATCACTTCATACAACTGTGAAAATACTCCTGGCAAGGTTATGTTGATATTATTAATTTTCAGAGCTTTCGAACGATATACAACATCTAACAAATCTTCCCACATGTTATTCATACAAAGCTCTCGAAAGCGGAGATATATCCTAGGTGTTGTCTTGTGTTACTGAGCAGAAAGCCACTGTCATCGATAAATAGGTGACCACACATAATATTTAATAATCTTTTGGAAATAAATTTTCGATATGTTAACATGAAAATATAAATGAAATAGGTTACATAGGACATTATGCTATCTTACAATTGGCAAAAATCGCTGCAGTTTTCACTTCTTTCATGGTTTATCTGGATGTTATGAATGTGTAAGTTTGCCTTTTCATTAAAAAGAAACGTTTTTAAGTTGTAGTGGTATTATTTGAATAATATGTCTAAAATAACTTTAATATTTATCAACAGTAGGATTAGACCTTTCAAATGGTGTATGACATGTAGTAGCAATAATGTTTTACAAGCTGATATTTTCCACAATAAGATAGGTTTCATCTATCATCTCAGAGTGTCTAGGAACTCAGTGTCATGGCAGTAAAAGCTTCTGCTGACTGGTATTGAAAGAGTTAGTTTAAATCAGCTGAGCATAGGTAAGGCATGTCCATTTTGAAGTTGAGTTCTTAATGTCTAAAACTCTGATGGGGAGCTACATTCATTCTATACTGTGGTTGGTATTTTATGTTGTCATTTTGTTAATGCATGCTCGTGGGGGATCCTTTTGTGTGTTTTGTCAGAGTTGGCAGCCTCTGCAAACCTTTGTTTAATAAACAACCTATTCTTTGAACTTCTCAAAAATATCTCATTTATGACCTTGGGAAAGTATTTTTGACACATTGATCAGTCATGTCATGGGTCAAGGTCACAGCCTAAAATACTTTAAAGCAATAGGATTTACAGGTGGTCACAGAAACTTGGTAAAATGGGTGTCAGATACCTACATTGTCATGGTAGAGTATGTAAAATGTCTTTCTCTTTATTATGCTTGTTGTAGCAGATAGCTTTGTGAATATTTTGCTCTGTGACAATGTGTGAAGCTCATTTCTGGTGTCACCCACCATAATATTACTGGAATATTGATATAAACAGCATAAAACTAAACTCACTCACTCACTTTTGTTGTGTGATTTGAAAGATATGTATGACAGGCGATGACCATCTTACTACAACATTAGTAGGTCAAGCTGACCTGCTTCTTGGGCAATATATATACTAAATATCTCCAGACATACTCCAAGACTGCATAGTTCCATGTAGGACTTCTGCAGCCTTCTGGAGGGGCTGCCTTTGCAAGGCACATTTCAAATATACTCTTCATAAAAAGTAGGGGAACTTCAGTTTTAATTTATGATTGAAGAAATTGGGAGACATATCGGAGTCAATAAATGTTGATATTATGATAATGAATTTTTTGAGAGTGCATATCCACTTGCACTTCCTTATGACCATAGTTGTTTGTACAGTATAATTTCATATTGAAGTGTGTCTGAGAAATGTTTTTGTCTTTTTAAGTAACTTAATGTTTGTGTGGGCTTACAACGACCAGTTTTCGTTGGAGGAGCTTTTGATTGTTGAAAAAAAATGAATGTTCCACATTACGAGAAAACAAAATACTGGTATTTTCTGTATTTTTATATGCCCTGCAACCTGGGCCCTGTGATTGTTAAATTAACGTTACTATGGTTTTTGATGGCTTCGTCATCTTGCATCCTCTCCACCCTCAGAGCTTGCATCTCAGTAAACCTACACAACCCAAGGATCCATTCCTGTGCCATCTCAAAATTGTGAAGATCCAGGTTAGAATTGATCTTCAGTAACCCATGCTTGTCGTAAAGGAGACTAATGGGATCGGGTGGTCAGGCTCGCTGACTTGGTCAGAGATTTACAGGACGTGAATTCTTGGGTACTATACCCATAATGACAATGGACGCAACAAAATTTATTAGCACATCCACAGGGACGCAGAAAAAGTCCAAATACTTTTTGTAAATTTCCAATCAAGTAACAATAAGTTATCAAAGACTTTGATACTAGCTGGATTATGGTACAATTTGCAATTCAATTACTGTAACAATATTGTGATGATCATGATACACAATACAATAACAGTATTAATAATAATAGTTAAGTGTCTGGGACCCCCATTTTGTTGTCAAGGACCCTTGAAAATTAAGAGTATGAGTCCTAGGGACCCTCAAAAACAGGACTCACAGTAAATCCCTGCTTGGTTGACACATGTCATCGTATACCAATTGCGTATATCGATGCTCGTGCTGTTGATCACTGGATTGTCAGGTCCAGATTCGATTATTTACAGACCATAGCTGGAATATTACTGAGTGCAGTGTAAAACTAAACCCAATCTCAAATTGATATTTATAGGCCAGTTTGATTTGCCACACTACTCAGTCAAATGGACCAATCAGAGAGCATATAACAAACCAGCTTCACTGATTGGTCAGTGACAACAACATGGATTGTGATTGAGCTTTTGAGAAATTCAGCATTAAAAGCAAAAAAGAAAGCCCTCAAAATTCTTAATGTCCTTTAAAACTGATAAGTCCTCCCGTACCCATTTCTGGACGTCAGTAATATGTTAATGAAAATCAATGGTAGATATTTTCCGATTCCAAGAATCACAAGAATAGATCCAAGGGTGAGAATAGGTTTACCAAAATGCTTAGGGGTTACATAGGTTGACTGTGATGTTCTTCAGCATTGCTGAAACGTGTTATATATTATTCATTTGTTAGCGTCTATCTATGAAGCCTTTTAGAAAGTGGTCAAATGTTACATGTTACATTTAGGATTACACTTTCTCAGTAAAGTACAGGGGGCGGTGGGGTAGCCTAATGGTTAAAGCGTTGGTTCATCACGCCGAAGACCCGGGTTCAAATCCCCACATGGGCAAAATGTGTGAAGCCCATTTCTGGTGTCCCCCGCCGTGATGTTGCTGGAATATTGCTAAAAGCGGCGTAAAACCAAACTCAGTCAGTCAGTAAAGTACAGATTCCTGTACTTTTTGGGGTCCCAAATCCAGGATTCAACCCACACTCAAAGAGTGAGGCAAGTAATAGCTACTGCACAAAGTCTGCGATCTAACCCACTCAGCTTCACCCTGACAGCTCTCAAAAGTACTAAAAATTTTCTTTTACACAGAAATTGTAGTCCTAAGTATAGCATGTTACATGTATGCCATTAATTGACTAATGATGGTCAGGTCGTCAGAGCGACAAATATTTTTATACTTCCAGATACATCAGATAAGCATTACTACACCAGTGTATTTTAGGATTGTGAATAATAGATGAGATTGTTTTGCAATGATTCTAGCAATAGGCCTCTCTCCATTTGTATATTTTCTTACAGCTGACCGTGAATGTCCTACAGAAACTGCAAGATTGATATAATGATTGTAGTTTGTCATTGAGCACTATCTTAACTCACACATAAAAGTCGTTTTCTGATTGGCTGAGCCAATCAATGTACCCCACATATAAGCGAGTAACATTTTCTATGTTACCCGCTGGAAATGCCGAACTGCGGGAATTCGTTAGGTACTTGGTGTTAGTAATGTTGCCTAACTCCGGTACTCCTTATTATGATCCAATAACTGTGCTTCAAACAGTTCAAAATTAACACTGAGGTGTTCGTTAAGATAAATACGTTGATCACTGGTCCCTCGGGGCGTTTATGTTCCTCTTGTCCTTCGGGCTCAGGAAACATAAACAAGGGTACATCAACCCATGGGCCCCCGAGGAACCAGTGAACAACTTATATTATGTGATAGCTTCCAGCTGTAGTAGATATACATTACAATTATATCCATGAAGTTCCAGGTTTGACTTAAACGTCATCAACATATGTTTATCATATGGGGCAATTAATGAATTTGGCCGGCCAGGGTCAAACATATACAGGCTGTGGTCATACAGCTGGAAGATTGCTGAGTGAGGCAAATGTAGAATTACCTCCGTGCACACACAGCCAAACACAGTTCACTCCTTTACATCCCAGGATCTGCTGTGTGTTTGACCTGTGTTACATGGGGCTCTCAAATGAAGTTCTTATATGTATACTGAGAGAAACAAATAAAGGAACATAGGAATATCCAAGCGTTCCTTAATATTTTCCAGTTTTCATCACCAGCTTTGAATAGCGCTGTGGGAGGAAATCTGAAAATAAATAAAGGAACACTGCCATGAAGTGGTGTTCCCTTATTTGTTTCCCTCAGTATATATTAGTACTAACTTGGCTCAACATGCTCAAAGAATAATGAAATTCAATTCTTTCACTTTACTTTCATCCTAAAAATAGGAAAAGATGGAATGAGTTGTGTTTAAAACTATTTTAAACAGCAGGTCTGTTACCATGGTTATGTGCCAGTTTGTCAGGTTACTGTGGGAGGAACACCCAGTTTGATGCAGGTCTCACATGTCTACACTTTGCTGACAAACTTAGAAACAATCACAGTGGAACTGGGGTTTGAACCCCGGATAATAGGTTCCTTGCATGCCTAAGGGACACAACTCTGTACAGATGATTACAGTGACTTAGAGGACATAGTTTGTATTTTGTTAACTCAAATGTCATTTTTAAATTTTATTGGCATATCTGTACGTTTTTGATGGACAAAACGTTACTTTTGTATTTGTTCCTTTTATGAGTTGACCTCTAGTCGGAGAAGATACAGTTGGGTATTTTCCTTGTTGTATTCATGCATATATATTTTGATGATGTTATGACTCAGTATTGCGTGTATACAGATAAATATTGTTTTTGTTATGAAATAAAGTCATAGTAAAACAAAATATACAAGAGTTTCACATTCTTTATGCATTATTGTAACCATGGTAACATTGTTACCGGGAATTCCCATATTTAGGCCCACGCAAAAATTTAGCCCATGGGCTAAAAATACAGGATTTTATTGGCGCATTTAAGCCCATGGGTTTAAATGTGGATTTAATTCTTAGGTGTTTACGTCCCTTTCCAAGCGCATGGCTTAACCTCGACATTTTTAACCTTCGTAGTGCCTCTGCTTGAGGTTATCACGTTTACAGAACATTTTGGACACCGGTTACAGGGCAGTTATTAGTGACAGAAATTGATCATCTTAACCCCTATGATGTGCATGCAGTTGCAGTTAAACTGATCCATGTGGTCATTCAATTTTGAATTTATAGACCAGTTTCCTGATAACAGAGTTTAAAAAAATCTGATTATTTTTATTTTATCAACATATTCGCACATTTCGAATTTAAGCCCTGGGCTTAAATATGGGTAAAATATTTCTTCACTAGAACAGTGATTTTTCCGTATTTAAGCCTGGGGCTAAAAATATGGGAATTTCCGGTACTATGCTGACCATTGGGTAGTAAATTCTCTGAGTGCCAAGACCTAGTTTTGTTTTGTAGTTTGATTGTCAACATTTTGGATTTGCTGGTACGTGTGCAATAGTGTTCTAATACCTGACTGGGAAACACTGAATGTATGAACCACGGCAGTGTAGTTCGCCTGTTTCCAGCATGTAAATACTGACAAACAAGGATAAGTTGAGCACCGACCTGATAATTGACCCATATTAGCATGTATGAGTGCCACCCACTGGCGCTTGCCATTGTTAGCGAAGGGGCCCCAGGTTGTCCACGATCAACTGTAGTGCGACTTGCTACACCGACGTGAGTCTTATGAGCAAGGCATGTGCAGCTACACACGAAATCAATTCCATCGTCATGCAATCCACATGCACTAGCTTACATCTGCTCTACCTTTCACAAACCAAATGGTTTTGCTCATTGCCATGCACTGCCAACTTCTCGTAAACGCGTTCTCTGCGCAGTCAAACTTATCCTTGTTTTCCAGTAGCTTGTGATGATTTACACATTGGACACAGCATTGCTAGTTCGTGCACAAACAACGAATAAAATCAAGTAAATCACAGCAGAATTACTTTGCCAGAAATCTCCACAGAGACTAATGGACTTTTCCCGGAAGTGTCAAAATCTGGAATTACACCCTATGTCGGTCTTTGCTGATACTGCGTGCAGCTGTTGAGTGATACAAACATTCTTACATAGGATATTTGTTATCTTTGTTCTTATACATGTTATTGACATTTATGTTTTCTAATCTCATCTGATTTAAGAGTATGTATCATGTAACTGTTGTGTTGACAAGTTCTGATCACTCTTGTGTCCCTATAAATGTGCTTTAACTGTTACTTGCAGTAGAATTCATTTATTTTTTTTTACAGAAGTATTTGGACACATTTATTGTACCTGAATCATGTCTGCTGTAAGAGTAGTCATATACCACATATTACCAGGTTTTGTCTAATCTGGGGTAAAGGGACAAGAGCCAGTTCAACCCTTGAAATCACAAGCTAAATGGTAGACCTAGGTGAGAGGTGAGGTGAGGTGAAATTGGGTTTTACGTCGTGCTTGAGAATATTTCGCTGATATGACGACGTGCATGCATGTGTATGTGTATCTGCTTGTACTAGCCCAGACTTAAGCTGGTTTTATAGTGCTAGCCCACTGAGATACCATGCCGCAGTGAAGCATGAATACCCCACTCAGACACATTATACTGACTCCGAGCCGACCAGTCCTTATTGTACCCATTAATGCCGAACGCCAGACAGGGACCAACAAGTACCAAATTTTAACGTCTTTTGGTATGACTCGGTCAGGGATCGAACCCGCGACCTTCCACTCTCCGGGCGGACGCTCTAACCACTACACCACCTCAGAGGCGATCTCCTAGGTGAGAGGCTGAACCCACATTAAATATAACATATCACTGAGATCAACATCCACACTGCTTAGAGAAAGATCCTGTATTACTAGAATACTGCTTAAAGCAACATATAACTACTATACTCACACACATTCTTATCAAGATAAAAACTTCTGCACTGAAGTGAGAAGAAATAAAGAAGAATTGTTTGAGAAAGCTGATCTATTTGACTCAAGAACTCAACTATCTAGACTAGAGGTCAAAGCTTCACTCATGGTTCAGCTCTCATGACCTTCCATGGAGCCCTGCCTTGAGTTTGAGTTGGGCTTTGCTTTTAGCAATATTCCAGCAATATCACAGCAGGGGACACCTAAAAAAAATAATCACAGAACACAATACTACAAATAATATTTTATTACAATATCATGACACGAACCCGTCAGAGAATGCTCTTGAAAGCAGCATGTGAAACAAGTTTCAGATCAGAATTCTTTGGGACACAAGATTTTGCTCAACAAGCACGTATCTCTCGCTCCATGTCATTTGATGAGAGGTGCGTCATCTTAGTTCTTGAAAAAACATTAATTGTTTATTATGTTACTATTGTGTATGGTCAATATCATACAAATACCACAATGATAAACCTTGCTGGACCTGATTTCACATTACTGTAGCATAGTTTGAAGGATGACATTATATGGAAGAAGAACTTGTTTATTACAGTGAGAGAGATGTTTCGGTGTAGGTTCTAACATCAAGCATGTGAAGTGTCATATTAAGACTTCTTGAAAACTCACTTGCTTGATGGGCGGTGGGGTAGCCTAGTGGTTAAAGCGTTGGCTCATCACGCCGAAGACCAGGTTCGAATCCCCACATGGGTACAATGTGTGAAGCCCATTTCTGGTGTCCCCCGCCGTGATGTTGCTGGAATATTTCTTAAAGTGACGTAAAACCAAAACTCAGACTCAGTCACTTGCTTGATAAAGATGTTGGAACCTACACAGAAATGTCGCTCTCACTGTAATAAAGAAGTCGTTCATCCATTGTTATCCTTCCTTATTGATCCATTCCCTAAATGCCTCTCAAAGAAGTTGTAGCGTAGTTCATGTACACTTTCTGATGTTTGGTGCACTGACTGCTGTGGAAGGTGCCTGTTAACCCTCTTGCACCTGCTTGTGTTGTATACTCCCCAGGGAGTTGAGAATGAAAATCACACTGATCCATTGTTGCAGTCATAATATAGACCTTTCATGGTCTAAGTGAACATGAGCAGTTGCAACTTGAGTTCCACAAATCCATAATAATGGATGCTTCTGACAGATCACCATGGCAACATCACTGTGTGGTCTTGGCCAACATTCTGTGGTCTATTTTCTCCAGATGAACTAATCTGAGAAGGGTCAAGGTCATTTTGGGACAATGATCTCCCCTTCAACAAAAGCAACATCAAAGAACTGAAAAAGCATAAAAACATATCAACATCTCCTCATGATGTGTGTCAGCATTGAAAAAAGTATCCGTTTCATTAAAAGTGTTCCCAAGAAAAGGTGCAAAACATGCATAATAATTCTCTTAACAAAAAGCCAAATCATTAAAAATCAGGAATCATTGCAACTGGGATTACTCGATGGGGTGACAATGTATAGTGCGTTTGGCTCAAAAGCGGACCGATGAATTGCAATCTTACTCGAAAACTAATAAACATTTAATACTCAATGAAAAGCTGATCATAATCAAAACATCAGACCAACTCTGTGATTTGTGTGCAGAATTTATGTCCCAAAATTAAAAAAGTTGTTTAACAAACTATCATTTAAATATTGACACAGTTCACTATTTTGCACGAGGGAGAGTGCAGAGAAAGGGACAGCCAGATGTGCGAGAAAGGATGGAGATGGCACAGCACAGGTTAATGAATCATTAACTTTGTCGGCACTTGTGCACGTGCTTCTCTAACACCTGGCTGTCCCTTTCTCTGCACTCCTCCCTCGCAAAAAATAGTGAACTGTGTCAATATTTTAATGATAGTTTGTTAAACAACTTTTTTAATTTTAGGACATAAATTCTGCACACAAATCACAGAGTTGGTCTGATGTTTTGATTATGATCAGCGTTTCATTGAGTGTTATATGTTTATTAGTTTTCGAGTTAGATTGCAATTCATCAGTCCGCTTTTGAGCCAAACGGACTATATATATTGTTCATTCATTAGTAGCAGAGCTAATCTGGAAGTTGAACGTTTTTATAATCTTTCTGACCACCAACTTGTAACTGATAAAAACTGAATGTCATTAAGAAGGTAAAATTTCCTTATTTTCATCAGAACTTCACAGCGTCCTCCCACATGTAACCCACTATCCTCATGCCAACTTTTAAGTAAACCCATACCACAAGCATGCTTGTGACTTTTCTGACAAAGAATCTCTCATGCTGTCATATATGAAGGTTCCATATTTTCACAGGTATGGCATCATTGGAAGGATACGGTTTAAGTTGTTCTGCAAAGTTCTTCATGTCTTCCCCAATCTGTTCCTGTCCTGAAGGTGCCACTACACTCAGCTCCACCAACTGCGACTGAGACAGTGGCTCCAGGCTGCTGTTGTCTGTATTGCCAGACTGTAACATCTGGAAACAGAAGAGGGAGGGTTAACATGACTGAGACAGAAGATTAGTGTTGGGAATTGGTTGAAATCTCACAATTGATGACTTGCTTCATTACCAACGAACAATCATCGAAAAAACTTGGTTAGCGTCATTTTTCAGATTTTCCTATCCAGGTTGTTATTGCAGAAAAGTATAACATGATGCAACTTGTTACATTAAAGTGATGACTAATATATCATGAACATAAACTTCCTGGAGTCTTAGAGAAATATTCAGTCATGACTTTTCAGTTAGTGAAGTGAGTTTTCTAAGAATTAAACATGTTTTCAGACCCTGACAACTTCTAAGATATGTTCCATTGTCAAGTGAGGTGAGGTGAGTTGTTGGTGGTGGTGGAATTGGGGTTTAATGCGTGCTTGAGAATATTTTGCCCATATGACGACGCGTGCATCGTGTGTATGTGTATCTGCTTGTACCAGCCCAGACTGAAGCTGGTTTTATAGTGCTAGCCCACTGAGATACCATGCCGCAGTGAAGCATGAATACACCCACTCAGACACATTATACTGACTCCGATCCGACCAGTCCTTGTTGTACCCATTAATGCCGGGCGCCAGGCAGGGACCAACAAGTACGATATTTTAACGTCTTTTGGTATGACGCGCTCGGGGATCGAACCCGCGACCTTCTGCACTCCGGGCGGACGCTCTAACCACTGCACCACAGAGGCGGTCTGGTGAGGTGAGGTGAAATTGGGTTAAACGTCGTGCTTGAGAATATTTCGCTCATATGATGACGTGCATGTGTGTGTATGTGTATGTGCGGCTGCTTGTACTAGCCCAGACTGAAGCTGGTTTTATAGTGCTAGCCCACTGAGATACCATGCCGCAGTGAAGCATGAATACCCCACTCAGACACATTATACTGACTCCCATCTGACCAGTCCTTGTTGTACCCATTAATGCCGAGCGCCAGGCAGGGACCAACAAGTACGATATTATAACGTCTTTAGGTATGACGCGGACGGGGATCGAACCCGCGGCCTTCCGCTCTGGCTCCGGGCGGACGCTCTAACCACTACACCACTGAGGGGGTTTCCATTGTCAAGTATTTCAAAGACTAAAACAGTAGTTCCAAAATCGTTTCTGTACGATTATGAGAAAATGTGATCAATTGAGTGGTCGTTTGGTCACTGTGACCAATCTTCGATTATTTAAATTAATCGGAACACCACTACAGAAGATGGAGGGTTAACATGACTGAGACAGACTGTAACATCTGGAAACAGAAGAGGGAGGGTTAACATGACTGAGACAGAAGATGGAGGGTTAACATGACTGTGACAGACTGTAACATCTGGAAACAGAAGATAGTATGAGACTGAGACAGAAGATGGAGGGTTAACATGACTGAGACAGAAGATGGAGGGTTAACATGACTGAGACAGAAGATGGAGGGTTAACATGACTGAGACAGAAGATGGAGGGTTAACATGACTGAGACAGAAGATGGAGGGTTAACATGACTGAGACAGACTGTAACATCTGGAAACAGAAGATAGTATGAGACTGAGATAGAAGATGGAGGGTTAACATGACTGAGACAGACTGTAACATCTGGAAACAGAAGATAGTATGAGACTGAGACAGAAGATGGAGGGTTAACATGACTGAGACAGAAGATGGAGGGTTAACATGACTGAGACAGAAGATGGAGGGTTAACATGACTGAGACAGACTGTAACATCTGGAGAAGATACTATGAGACTGAGACAGAAGATGGAGGGTTAACATGACTGAGACAGAAGATGGAGGGTTAACATGACTGAGACAGAAGATGGAGGGTTAACATGACTGAGACAGAAGATGGAGGGTTAACATGACTGAGACAGAAGATGGAGGGTTAACATGACTGAGACAGAAGATGGAGGGTTAACATGACTGAGACAGACTGTAACATCTGGAAACAGAAGATAGTATGAGACTGAGATAGAAGATGGAGGGTTAACATGACTGAGACAGAAGATGGAGGGTTAACATGACTGAGACAGACTGTAACATCTGGAAACAGAAGATAGTATGAGACTGAGATAGAAGATGGAGGGTTAACATGACTGAGACAGAAGATGGAGGGTTAACATGACTGAGACAGACTGTAACATCTGGAAACAGAAGATAGTATGAGACTGAGATAGAAGATGGAGGGTGACTGAGACAGAAGATGGAGGGTTAACATGACTGAGACAGAAGATGGAGGGTTAACATGACTGAGACAGACTGTAACATCTGGAAACAGAAGATAGTATGAGACTGAGATAGAAGATGGAGGGTTAACATGACTGAGACAGAAGATGGAGGGTTAACATGACTAAGACATAAGATGGAGGGACATGACTGAGACAGAAGATGGAGGATGACTGAGACAGAAGATGGAGGGTTAACATGACTGAGACAGAAGAGAAGATGGAGGGTTAACATGACTGAGACAGAAGATGGAGGGTTAACATGACTGACACAGAAGATGGAGGGTTAACATGACTAGAAGATGGAGACATAAGATAGAAGATGGAGGGTTAACATGACTGAGACAGAAGATGGAGGGTTAACATGACTGAGACAGACTGTAACATCTGGAAACAGAAGATAGTATGAGACTGAGATAGAAGATGGAGGGTTAACATGACTGAGACAGAAGATGGAGGGTTAACATGACTGAGACAGACTGTAACATGTGGAAACAGAAGATAGTATGAGACTGAGATAAACTGTAGCCTCTCTGTCTGAAACATCAGTTTATAGATTTGAATTAAATGCATCAAACATATGATGTAGATAAACAACATGGCAGGAGAAGTGGATTCTCTCATTATGTCACCTGCACACGTAAAGGTTTAAACTGTGACAAATTCAATCAATGGCTACTTACTCTGTAGAGTTTGGAGACTGTCACCTTCATCCTTCCCTTGTGAAAGAAGCAGCCACGGACAACATACTCATGATCCAACCTGAAGCAATGTTCAATGAATAATAATGATAATAATAATAATAGTCCATTTGTAATGCGCATTTCTCCACGCATAATGCATGCTCGAAGGGCCCAATGTTTGGTATATTTACTAAACATGCTAAAACTAAAAGTCTATGTAAACATGACCCATGAACATTCTGGGTTAGAATTGGTCTTCAGTAACCCATGTTTGTCGAAAGAAGCGACTAACGTGATTGGGTGGTCAGGCTTACTGACTTGGTTGACACATGTCATCGTATTATAAGGCTGAATAAAAAAAATGTTGTGGTTCTGATTACACCTCGTAATTTAGGGTAGGTAGGTAAGATTTTTTTAAACATTTTTTTAGAAGTAAAGTACAAACTAATAACACATTTATCAATTTGTAATTGTTTATTCAATTAAGCTTGCAGCCATCATGTCGACATTTCTCTATCAGAATGACCAAAGCTCGTTGGTGCCGGGAAAAACTAATGGTATCTGAAAGCTTATTATATTCAGACCGCATTAAAAAAAATAGGGTCGGCACCAGAATTCAAGGGTCAGTCAGGTATTCGAACCACATTTGTTTTGAGTCCTAATTAATAGTAAAACTTCCCCAGTTGAATGGCTTCATGCATAGTTTTACTGGGTATCAAATATTGCATCCTGTATGCATGAAAAAAAAAAATTGGATGTCAAAAACATCCACTGCAAGTTTGATTGAACAAATGTTGAATACAAAAGGAAATTAAAAATAAAAAATTCTGTTCTGATAGCAAATCTAAGTAATGTTCAGACATTTTGATTCAAAAGAGGAAATGTATGGGAAGTGTATGGAATTAAACTCTGAATTCAGTTTTCTGTTGGTACCATGATGTTGAGTATAACACACATACTGTATCAAATTTGTAGTGTGTAATAGTTTTTCCTTCTTCAGGTGTACCTAGATAGACTTACCTGAATCCCATTTCATTCAGAAACTGGACAACATTTTCAGAGCAAGCCACATCAAAGCATGCTCTCACAAGGGTGGGCCTTGTCTTATCTCCAATCTCTGTCTGACCACAGTAACGGATATACCTGTTTAAATAAAAAAACATGACTAAATACACCCACTGCTTCAAATGAGATAAAAATTCGTCCATGCACAGAATGCTAAAAAATAATAACTAATAACTACAAACATAACAAGAAATAGATCTGAATTTACTGTCAGTGTGAATGGCATCTTTAAATAACATACTGGCAACAAATAATATATTTGGGATTACTATGATTACAATTTCTTAGTAAAGCACAACTTCTAGTCCTTTCGGGGTTTGATTCATAAAACGGTCCATAAATGTTTCATTTTTCAGCTGGTGTTGTAAGCTGCACTTAAAAAACCCTGTCATTTGAAATCTTTAGTATGCATTATTCCAGCTACATCATGACAGCATATAAACAATCGAATCTGGACCAGAGAAACCGGTGACTGACACTTCCTAGTCATATGTGAGATTCTGTCACCGGCCAAGTACCAATTTCCTGAGCTGCTCGTGTAAAAACCTAATCCTTTTTCTAAGATGCTTCGGTAAAAGATGAAAGGTGCTGACAGTACTTTATCAGACGATAAGGTACTGTCAGCAACTTTCATCTTTTTGCATTACACCACACTGTATTGATGTCACTGTGCCATTCTAGTCTGCCCCCTCGTAATCAAACGTACCACATGGTAACCGACATCAAGATGCATGTCCGTTGTCATCGCCTCGTAAGCCTCCTACACGAATGTTCATCGCTTGATGTTTATTCTAGTATCAAAAATGTACTTTGCATTGAACCATATTTAACTTTATTGAAATCTAAAGATACGCATCCTCGATATTGCTAAAAGCGGCGTAAAACCAAACTCACTCACTCACTCACTCATCCTCGTTAATCTCCAGGGTATACGTTACAATCACTCTCCACTATACCCTGGATGCATCCACGGCTCAAAAATCTGAGTGGCACTGAGAACAAACCTTCACGGCTCAGACGCTATCTTTGTTGACACTGGCAAGCTGGATGTAACGGCGGCTTAGCTGATTGGCTACTGTGAGAATGCGGAGCAAGCAAAGGGAGGTAATATAATTATGGGGCCAAGCCGTGGATGCATCCAGGGTGTAGTGGAGAGTGATCATAACGTATACCCTGGAGATTATCAAGGATGAGTGAGTGAGTGAGTTTTGTTTTACGCCGCTTTTAGCAATATTCCAGCAACGTCACGGCAGGGAACACCAGAAATAGGCTTCACACATTGTACCCATGTGGGGATTCGAACCCGGGTCTTTGGCGTGACGAGCCAACGAGGCTGCCCCACCGCCCCATATCGAGGATGAAAGATACTAGGCATAGAATAACAATGTTACGAATCGGTGCACTTCCAGAATAAATACAGGTAGATTTGATGGATCTCCGAAGCACCAAAGATTTGTAATATCTGTAATGATAATTTTGTAGAAAATGAATTTCATTTCCTATTTGAATGCAAAACGTATCATGATTTACAATGTAAGTATTTTAAAGCATTACAAAATTACATAGATCAGCAATACTTTCTGAACACATTATCATGTACCGATTTTTCAACAGCAACAAATTGTTCTACTTACATTAAGGAAGCATTGTCACTGCGTTTTTTATACATATGAACCTGACTGTCAATTGGCACAATCTTATAATTGCACGTTTATTTTGTATTGTACATGGGCCTAAGGCCTTGTTACGAAATAAACTTGATTGATACAGTAATTTGAGAAAACTACTCCGTAGCACCCCGTTTGCAGTTGCTTCACTCAGCTGACATCACTGATGGAAAAGCTCAATAGAAAAGCGTGTCAGTTAGTAATGAACGAGGATTATAAATTTAGGGCACCGACACCATCGCTTTTCTGTTAAATATGAAATTTGGCATATTAGAAAAGAAATACAGTTCACTCTAACACCATGTATAGTGTAATAAAGCACACTTTCACCCTGAACAATTTCAACGTTAAAGCACTCGGACGCAACCTTTCTGTGCTTTAACTATAATAGTTCAGGGCAAAAGTGTGCTTTATTCATTATACATTGTGGTAGAGCAAACTGTATTTCTTAATTATGGACTATTACAAGGGCTAAACCTATTTTACCATACAACATAATGCAAATGGTAGGCTGATGGTTTACCAAGGAGTGTCTGGATGATCTAGTGCACGACGGACTCTGAATAACACAAAGTGACTGCTGGGCTGAGCTGATCCCTCTGAAACAATGTATCATGTAATAAGTGAACACTGAATAGACAGAAATTACACCACTTTTAGCAATATTCCAGCAATATAATGATAGGGGAACCCAGACATGGGCTTCCCACTTTGTACCCATGTGGGGAATCGAACCTTGGTCTTTGACATGATAAGCTTTAACCACTGGACTACCCAACTGCCTAAAAATTGAACAGTAAGATTGCAGGTTTAGCAAGTATGAATTAACAAAAAGTTAACAAAAATTGAGAAAACAAATAGTTTCTCAATGTTTAACATGGGGGTACTGGGGACCCCTGATTATAAGTGGTTCTTGCGGGCAATATGAGGGTCCTGTGAATTAACAGTGTTTGAATCAACCAAATTTGGGTATGAGTCATCTAAATTTGGGTACGGGTCAACCTAACAAGGTATGAAAGCTCCAAAACAGGAATGAATCTGACAAGAATTTAGGGTAAGAGTTAACCATTTTCACTGGGTACAAATCTCTGTGGGTATGGATTGTCTAGTGTCCCTCGATATTAGCTGTTAAGAGTTAAGTCCCTCCTATTGTCCAATCAGATTCCATCTATCACATTACTTGCACTTGCTTCAAACAAAATGGTGAAGATTCAAGTAATGGCCAGGATAAGATGATCTGATAGGTAATCAGGATCAGTATTATGTGCCTCACCTCTTGAAGTTCATTAACTTACTTGAGCACCTTGACTAAAAACATGAAGTGCTTTGGAAAATATCTGCTTGATGCCCAGATCACAATACACATACTTTGCAGAAACCTGCAGTAGACCAAAATCTGCTGGGCAGTTCACTAACTGGCTGTTAATTTTGTTAATAAGGCCAGACCAATTTTATTTCTTGTTTTATGGATTTTTGTCCTCAGAAACCCAAAGGCAGGAGGGAAAAAACATACAAATAAAATCACCAGTCAAAATAATATTCCTTCTAAATATTAAAAGTATTTTACTTTTGGAAATTTATGAAGTGTATATGGGGCAAAAACAATCAAAAACAAATTTTCTTGTAAGTTTACATTTTTGGCCAATGAAAAACATTAGGATTTTATTTTTTGAGTGGGGAAAATTAAATTTTACTTTTTTTCTATTCTTGAAAAAATATGACCGGCAGATCTGTAAAACAAGAAATAAAATTGGTCTAACTAAGAAAATTCCAGCTTAGTTTGACAAACTGGACTTATTCAGTCAGTTAACTCCTGTGTCGCAGGAAGATGGCTTCCACCATGCTCACCAGTGACATACACATATACAGCATAATCAAGATTATGTTTTTGGAATGTTGATAAATAAACAGTGTTCCAAACTGAGGAAGAAAATCAAGGGTTCCATGTGATAATCCTCACATTCAGAGTTATGACAAGGAACATCCTTAGATTCAAATATCATTTTGATCATAAACACTTAAAATGATGAAAACGGCAACATACTTAGTGCAAACACCATCTCATGATCAAGGAAAGTTTCTGGGGTGGTCTCAGCATTGTCACACAGTCCTCGTAGTCGATGTAGCAACATCTCGCGATAGTTGTCACTGATGCTGCCCTGTAGAAGGAACTCTTGCTGTGGGGTGATGTGATATTTCACACCGAGGTTGTATGTGCTTTCCATGACTAGTAACTGAAGAGACAACATCAATAATACAAACAATAAATAACAAGCTCTCATTTTCAAAAGTTGAAGTCAGTGATGCTGTGAGAGTGGGCGATGACTTGGGTTTAATGCCATAACAGCATTCCAGATATATCATGACTTCTCAGCTAAACAACGAAAACTTAAAGTGATGCAGGTCTTAAAGGCAGGGGTTCAACTTCAAACCTATACACAGATGGGGTGTGGCCTCCTTGCCTTGTCAAAGCTGTCTTTCAAATTCAGTGCAAAGCAATGCAGTATTCAAGCACATTCCATGAAATATCACAAAATTGACTTACCGGTTCATGACGAAATTAAGCCATACTGTAAAGAAGTATGTTATGAAGGCTCACTATAAAATGTACGTATGTATGCAGACAAGCTATAAAACATACATTTTGAAAATATATTTCTCTTCTTCAAATCCAGGTTTGAATTTCCCACTGTGTCAGTCAGGTGGCCAGAGGAGGTGCCTTTCCATAAAAAACATGCCTGTGTGTTGGCTAAATGTTTCATTCAGGGTTTCATATTTCAGGCAGGCTGTGAAAATGACCCCCCCTCCCCACTCCCTGACCCCATGCTGTGCTGGGTTAGGGCTGTACACTTATTTGATGCTGACATCACTATGTTAATTGCATTTTCAGAAAATCAGTAAAGTTTGAAATTTCATATACCGGTATGCTAATCAAATTAATCTTTTTAGTCCTCAAAATATGTAGTGAAAGGGTTGTTGGGACATTTACTATGAGGGACATGTTTATTCTAGTAGTAAATTCCAAGGTTAACCTTGATAATGCCAGGCACCCATAGCCTTACAGTCCTGTCATTCTTGGGCAGATAACGTCTACACTGCTAGGAGTAGCCAATAGGAGACAACACTTAGGTAGAAACCCCAGGGGACCACAACTGCTTGAACCATGATTAGGACCCACAATCATAGGTCTCCGACAATATATAGGCGACATGCCCAAGGGATGTAACGCTGCACAGCGAATTGTGTATGACAAATTGGCAGCTACCTATGCTAAACAACTGTTGGTTGGGTTGGTTTGTTGGGACGTGATTCAAGTGCATGTACAATTAATGTGTCAGAATACTTCATGCAATAAGTGATCAATGAATTCTACTGCAACTAACAGTTAAAGCACTGGTTTGTTGTTTATGCTAGGGTTACACTATGTTACTGGCAGAAACGTAGGGTGCCGTGGGATTTTGGCCATTTTTTCCCTGTAAAGTCAAGTTTTGTTAGTTCCTGCTAAGTTTTCTCACAGTCTATCGTGGTATCCGTGATGGGCCGTTGGGAAAAAGAGCTGCTGAGTCCCGGAAGTGTCCTTTGTAATACAATATCATTGCACACTAATTTGCATGAAGCCATGGTCTGTTCCAAATAAGTCGCATTGCTCATTTCTGCACTTATCTCTCCTCAGTAAAGTCCTTGTTTTACGTTTCCTATCTCTCTACCACTGAGACTGTAGTTAGGCCGAACTTAGTTCAACAGATATTTCACACTTTCACATATGAACTACATAAATTATCATGATTATAGATATAAATGTGAAAAAACAGTTTTATTCTATTTCCGACAGTACTTTTAGTACCGTGACTGCCGTGGAATTTTTGAACAGTTTAATAATCTGGCATAGCATCCATGGCAATCATGGACGGTCACGTTTGCTCATTCAGTCCCCCCAACACTGTCTCGCGTCCATCCCGTTTTGTCCCCGTTTCGGTGAAGCGGGACTGCCGTGGCTTCTGTGAACATAGTGTAACCCTAGCATTAACCTCACACTTAGCAATATTCCAGCCATATGGCGACAGTCTGAAAATAATCGAGTCTGGACCAGACAATCATGTGATCAACAGCATGAGCATCGATCTATGCAACTGGGATAAATTGACGTGTCAACAGAGTCAGCGAGCCTGACCAGTAAGAGTTCCGCCCGTAACCCCCGCTTGAAATGTATTCTATTTATTATGATTATTTCATGGAGGGGTTAGGTTTAGGTTTAGGGTTTACATTTAGCATTATGTTAGGTTTAGGGTTAGGGTAGGCTTTCTATAAAAAAAATCATCTATTCTTACTGTAAATCTTAGGCATAGAATGAAAAAAAATCCGGGGGTTACGGGCGGAGCTCTTTCCAGATTCCAAGTTCGACCCACAAAGATGGATCTGCTCTGGCGTGTGCTACACAATATTATTCAGTTACCGGTAAGAAAAAGTTCGACAGAGTATATTACATAATTATAGTACATAACTCACCTTTCGCAGCTCCAACAAATACCTGGGGAGGCACACTTGAAGTTAATGCAAAGCCACCATTTCCCACGCAAAACGCAGTAAAACACGCACGATATGATCTTTGTGTTTATTTTGATCGGTAGAACGGAAATGTGTGCATGCGTATCTTTATCTTGGAAGAGTTCTGTGAGGGGAGGTAATTCTTCCATTTGTCGCTACTATTGACTGGATGGGGACTGTCAAGTTTTCCTCTTTTGCTTTCCAGCAACATCATAACCAGAAATGGGCAAAAGTGTGTTTTATTACACAACGCTTTACATGGTGGTAGAGCGAAGTGTATTTATCGGCGTAAATAACAATCTGATTAGAGACAATATATCAATGTCGGTCTCTGATATAAGCATCTTCAAATAATGACAATGCGGACTACCCCTTTAGATAGCAGCCGTTTATATTGATGGTGCCGAATCTTGGATCACGAGTTTCACCACCGGCTCCTATGTGAAATATCTCCCTCTCTCTCTCAAGATAAAAAAATAATAAAAAATTAATAAAGAAAAATAATCAAAGTAAATAGTTTAAAATAAAAATGAAAAATATACCCCCACCCCCAAACCAAAACAACAAGAGGTAAATGTCTAGAAACGTGATTTTTCTTAATGTTTAGAAAATGTTGCTTTCTCCTCAGGTTTTACAAAACCAAAACAAAGCAAACATAACAAACACAAAGAAAGTCGCTGAATATTGTCAGGAAAATATGTTTGGTGAAAACTAATTAAAATGTTTAAATGAATTCAATCTTAGAATTATATGCTGTCTTGCCCCATCCCCATCCCCACCCCCGTATATATAACTGTAACCTAAAATTGGTACCTTTTGAATGGTTTCCAGAATCCATCGCACACTAACGATAAATTTGCGATAAACAAAAAACACACAACTGTATATATGTTGTTTCTTTACTGTTCCTATGTTTTTACATGCTTGTTAATGATAATGTACCTGTATTTCTAAAGCGCCTAAATTCCATCAGTGAGGTGCTCAGTTAAAACATGTTGTAAAGACAAAACACAAGAAGATAGTTTTGGAACGCTTGAAGATAGATACACGCGTCGTTGTCATAGATGCAGTTAAAATAGATGCATATAATCAGAAGAATTTTGTTTTCAATGTGCGGTTTGATGGGTAAGCAGTGAAGGGATTGCAGGATTGGAGAGATGTGGTCAGAGCGTCGAGAACGAGTGATAAAGCGCTGCGGTGTCTTGAAAAATACTCTGAAGTTTAGATATTCCAGCTATATGGCGGCGGTCTGTAAATAATCGAGTCTGGACCAGACAATCCAGTGATCAACAGCATGAGTATCGATCTGCGCAATTGGGAACCGACCACCCGATCCCGTTAGTCGCCTCTTACGACAAGCATGGGTTATTGAAGGCCAATATTCTAACCCGGACCTTCACGGGTCAAAGTATTTAATAGTTCATATGATCCATACAACTTAAATATTGAATATTGGGGTGGTATTTAACTTTTTGACAATACATTCATTGTCCAAAAAGGCAACCTTTGTCGCGCGTGATCCAAGCGAGTCCATTACAGCCTGACACTGTCGTTTCATGGTCCCGGTATGCGAGTGAGTGAGCCAGTTTTTATGCCGCTTGTAACAATATTCCAGCACTATAATGGCGTGGGACACCAGAAATAATCTTCACACATTGTACCTATGTGGGGAATCGAACCCACGTTTTCAGCGTGACGAGCGAACGCTTTAACCACTAGGCTACCCCACCGGCCTGATCCTGGTTTGTATCTGAATGGGTAACGCTGCCAAAGGAAGATTGTTCGCCTCTCCAGTAAGAGCATTACCGAGTTACTGTAAAGTGAATATCGTTTTATGTCGACTTTAGTAATGTTCCAGCAATACCACGGACACCAGAAATGAACTTCACACATAGAACCAACCCATGTAGGAAATCGAACCCGAGTCTTCGGCGTGACGGTCGAACGATTTAACCATTAGGCTACCACACCGACCTAGAGTTGCCAGGACAGGGCGTCATGAGGACGATCTGCAGCTCGTACCACACGTGTTTGATAGGGTTGAAGTCTGGTGACCAGGTTGGTTTCCATGTGGATAATGGTTTCCTGTTCGGCATAAACGTATCCCCCGAAAGCCGGGGTTCGTTTCCCCACATGCTTGCAAATGTGAAGCTGAATATTTCAGTTCACTCATGAATGGAACTCTGAAGCGCCCTATACCGAGCCGATGTCTAATGGACTACATTAGTGGTGGTGTGTGGTCCTGCGCGTCGAACTCGGGTCACTAATCAGTTGAAGTTACAGTCCGTTTGGCTCAAAAGCGGACCGATGAACTGTGTCAAAATTTTAATGATAGTTTGTTAAACAACTATTTCATTTTCAGGATAAACTCTGCAAAAACTCAGTTGGTCTGTTTTGATTATGATCAGCGTTTCATTGAGTATTATATGTTTATCAGTTTTCGAGTTAGATTGCAATTCATCGGTCCGCTTTTGAGCCAAACGGATTATAAGCAACCTTGGGCGCAGAGTACTTGGATGGGTGACCATGTTTGGCAGCTTGACTCATGAGAGTTTCTTGGGCTTCAGTCCTGCCCCACAAGGAAGCACATGTGGTCTCACCCAAGGCAAGTTGAGTTCGTTCAAACTTGCTTCTGTTCACCCAGCAGAAAATGGGTACCCGGTGGATAAGTCATGTGACTTATAGCGCCTCACAGGCAGCTTGGGTTATCCGGGGTAATAATTAGATTGGTGTTAGCGCTTTGAGCATGTGTCCTGTACATGGAAAGAGGCGCATTAAAGATTCAAAATTATTATTACAAGCCGTGGTACACGCGATTCAAACATAACACAGGGTTTCTCTCCTTTAGTCTATTTAATGCAATTCAGGTTTGTAAATATTGCACAGGAAACTGCCAGATCTAACGGTCATTGTTGCTGTCCACTCGGACAACTCACAGGACACAAGCACACCACATGGAGACGAGAAGTAGGGTCACAGGTGTTGTAAGCGTTGAACTGGTACCTGCAAAGAAAACATTTGTGGACTGAGCGGGTTTTAAGCTGCCTTTAGCAATACCAGGGAGAGGACACCATAATTTAGACTTGCATAAGTCTCCAAGGTAAAAATTAATAGTTTAAATGGTAATATCTAAAAACATAAATAGCAAAGTGACAAAACACTTGTCAAGGCAAAGGAATGAACTGACTAGATATTTTTAGTCAGTTATCTCCCTTGTCCCCTTCGAGCCTGTTTCAGGCCACAGCAACAATGCCCCCTTATCTGGATAACTGCATGTAGGCATCCTTACAAATTATAACTTCATAAACGATTCTTGCTGACAAGAATGGGATACTGTGTTTGGTTCCATAAGAGACCCTAAGCTATTTTCTGGCGGCCTCTAAATAATCGATTCTCAACAAGTGACCGATATCATGAGCAACGGTCGATGGAGCACAATCATCCAAGACAAAAGACCTGAAAATCAAATCCATTTAGTCGCCTCTTGCTAGGGACCTTGAATGTAAATCGTAAGCACCTTGATACTGGGTGGATCAATGGTGTTCCAAGGAGCAGACATAACCTATGAACAAGGTAAGGGGTCAGGGGACCAAGATTGGGGCGAAGCGGGATTCGAACCCGCAATCACATTTCAGTCCTGTCCCACCTTGAACTTCGAAACCATTTGACCAATGGACCACACATCCCTTCTCTCAGAGTGAAAAGGCCTAACAGACGCCAAATATCAGAAGTATATACCAAACAAACGCCAGTAGGGGTTACATTTATCAGAACCGAAGATAACCATGGATATTTTTAAAACAAGTAAACATATGCTGTTGTAGAGGCCATAAAATTTCCGAGTCCAGCGCCGGGATTCGAACCATGGACCTTCTATTCTATTCCGAAGTCGGACCAAATAGGTCAAGTCCCAGCAAGCTGACAAGGTAAGGATGCGAGTGCGAGTTATGTTTTACGGCGCTTTTAGCATTATTCCAGCAATATCACGGCTGGGGACAAGCAATATCAGGGCTTCATACACTGTACTCATAAGGTAAGGATGTCATCTGTGGGATGACTCCACGCCCTGCTACACTGTCAGCATATCGACAATAGGCCGGAGCTTTCGTCCGACCAGGTGCAACCTAATCTCTACCAATTCGAGAGCCTTCTGATACCACATGTACACTGACCGACTTCGCACTCCTGATCGATAACGTTCACAGACGCCGGGAGGGAGGTCACGTTTCTTAACTCCGGACAGTCGTCTCTATTCAGCTTGAAACAATCTTCAAACTCAAGAAGCGCCCTGAAAAGACAACGATATCTGTAAACAATATATAGAACAAACTGCATTAGTTTAACGCCGCACTCAGCAATATTCCAGCTATATAGCATAGCCGTGGTCTGTAAATAAGTCTGGTGAATGAGTTTAGTTTTACGCCGCTTTTAGCATTATTCCAGCAATATCACGGCGGGGGACACCAGAAATGGGCTTCACACACTATACCCATGTGGGGAATCGAACCCGGGTCGTTGGCGTGACGAGCGAAAAATAAGTCTGGACTAGACAATCCAGTGATAATATTGAGCATCTATCTCAGAAAAAAACTGCAATAGTTTTCAAAATATCAAGTCAATACGTTAGTTTGGTGCGTAATGAGAATGATTTAGAAGTCTGTAAAAATGAAGTCTGAACCTAACAATCCAGTGACTGACATGAGCATCGATCTACCTAGCTGGATATCCAGAAAACGCAAATCCACTGGGCCAGACCACCGGATCCCGTTAGTCTGATATACGACGAGTATGGACTGCTATAGACCGGTTTTTACTAGGACCATCACGAGTGAGTGAGTTTAGTTTTACGCCGCACTCAGCAATAATCCAGCTATAAGGCGGCAGTCTGGAAATAATCGAGTCTGGACCAGAAAATCCAGTGATCAACAGCATGAGCATCGATCTGCGCAATTGGGAACCGATGACGTGTCAACCAAGCCATCGAGCCTGACCACCCGATCCCGTTAACCAGGACCTTCACTGAGCCGGCTAGGGTTTGATGTCATGAGCAGCGGCCGACGTCATCGGTACAATGACATCAGTACAATATACAACAATCGGAACACAATACGCCGAATTACAGGTATAGGCAAGAAAACAGTAGGATAATCAGTCCTAGTTAGGTCCTGAAACGCATTATTTCCCTTCTGGCCATCCCCCTCTGACATCATAAAGCCCTAAAGGAAACAAGATTTCCTAAGGTACTGAGTCTTACAACTCACTGGGGCTCCTATCAAAATCAACCTATTCGGAGTCATAAGACTACCAGTCAATGTGTGAGTAAATGGTTTGTGCTCCCTTGACTTTTGGCACCCTGAAAGAGCTCAGTGTACCCTCACGCGTCATAAGAAACGGGTGCATGTGTACTCACGGGCAAGGGAAGTAGGTCTCAGAAAATTGGGCGTATGGTTTCAGCGCCAGCGAACAGTTGGCCAGTGGGCCGCACCCTGCCTGCATACTCAAGTTCTGACGGAGATAAGGGTAGTACTCAAAATTCGCTGAAACAGAACAAGTATCTATTTGAATCAATAATGTTACAACCAGTCCACTTTATGCTAAACTACAGGTAGATAGTGCTGACTGTATAATAGAGGGCTTGTGTATTGTAAGATGGCGGCCAGATTTGAATCTATCAACTTGATGTTGGAAGAAAGGGAAAGATTTCCGCCCGTAACCCCCGTTTTTATTTATCATTCTATGCCTACAAAAAAGGAAGAAGATAGTTTTTTCAAAAAACCTTAACACTAACCCTTACCAAATCCTAAAACCTAGAAATAATCCTAATATATAGAATACATTTCAAGCGGGGGTTACGGGCGGAACTCTTACCTCTTAAAACTTGATACAATATTATCATTCAATTTTCTTTCCATGCAACTGTTTACGAAACCACCTGTTTTGGTTCGAGCTAGGTTTTATACACTTACCGTATCGTTCCTTCTTGTTATAAAACTGCTCGAAAAGGGTAACATATTTGGCATCAATGGTTATAACACCAGTCTCTTCCTTTGAACAGAGACTTGCTCGGGCCGTCTTCATCTTCACAAGCTGTTCCGAATGAAAGTCTGTGTGGTTGTGTTCGTGGGGGTGGGCGTGGGTAGTCGTATCAGATGGGGACGTGGTGGGGGACGTGGTGGGGGATTCAGAAGTTTCATCTGAGGAAGATTCCGATGTTGACACTGTGGATGTTTCGGTCGAGCTGCTTTGGCTCTCAGTGGAGGTTGCAGCCTTGTGACATTCGGTCAGTTTGTCTTCAACACACGCCAGGTAGCGGGCATACTTCCTGTAGAGAATATTATTATTATTATTATACGATATTTATATAGAGCACATATCCAGGCAACTAATGCTTGCTCAAGTCCCTGGTATTTTTTCCCTCGATCATTGGATGTCAATCTCAACGGCACATCGTGTTATCAATTTCAACTCCCTGGGGAGTATGCAACTCTTGCAGCCACAAGGCGCACCGAGTTATTGTGGCTTTCTCATCCAAACGAGGTACCCATTCACAGCTGGGTGAACTGGGACACATAGTCACTGTACTTTGTCCAAGTTCACTGCACGTTGCTGTACCCGAATCTAGGTATTTGAACGTATTCATGTGGCCACCATCTGGTCATATACCAACGGATTCGTGGGTTCTTTTAAGTGCACAGGTTTGTGTACTGTGCACTATGGTTTGTGACAACACTGAAAGAGTCTGCACACAAAGTTGACTCCAAGGTTTTACACCCGGTCACAGGTGGGCTCGATCCCGGCACCTCAACCTCGCTGGATCACTAGCCTGGCGCCTTAGCCAGCTCGATCGCCCACCGCGCGTTCTAAATGTTCAGGTGTCCTGACAAGTGGGTGACCAATCTTGTGCACTCTTCATGGGACCAAAATCTTTAAGAGCGTTTTCCAAACATAAAAAACAAATAAATTAATATGACTTCACTAGAAACCAAAGGTTGTTTTCAAACATTTTCTCTTTCAAAGAAACAGTTCACAAGACAGTTTACTTTGATAACAATACACACTACCCTATATTTGTTAGAAAGCAACCGAAATTTATACCTTTCTTGTTGAGAAATTATGTTTTTAAGTTTAAGTTGTACAGAACTGGCTTCACAGCCTCCCAACAGAAACTGATTGACTGAGGTTTAGTTCTACGCCGCTTTTAGCAATATTCCAGCATTCATGGCGGGGGAGACCAGACATGGACCTACAGAAACTTAATGGGTCAAAATAACACATTGTTTTGTTTTTCTAACTTTATCTCGGAATAAGGTTTTGACCGCAACAAGATTTCGTACGTACCCGCAATTGAGTTTTCGATCGTGCAACTGTTGCAGTGTCAGCACGAATTTACCATTGCAGTGGTCAACAGCTGGGCACTCGGTGGTCAGTGGGACGGTGTGGAGGTCTGTACAGTAAAACATATATACATGTATATATATAGCCGGAAATATCGTCTACTATGAACATATGTTCCGTGCAAGTGTAGAGAATAAGCAAAGTGAAAAGTCAAATGAAGTAAGTTTTCTTACCTGCGAGTTGAAGTTCTAACAGGACAAATAAAACTACAATATATCTTGACATATTCTACTTGAATCAGCTACACTAAGTTATGTTGATCCGTTTCAGTTTAACCTTTCAAGTCGACAACCCATCAACACTGCAGCGCGTGCGCATCCCGCGCACGGGAAACTCGTGCAACATTCAAACTGGCGTCACATCCATATATGGTCGGAAAATAGTTCAAAGGTCAATCTATATATATCAAAATCGCGTCTGCTCTAAATGACGTATTCTGGTAGCAAATGCATCAGCTGAACTTGATACACGCTGTTAAGTTAATATTTGTTTATTTTGTCGCAAACATACCTTTTGTGTGATGTTTCTATTGTTCAGTTGAAGAATATGTTCATGTTGATAGTGAGTGTGGTTTTACGCCGCTTTCAGTAATATTCCAGCAATATCACGGCGGGGGACACCAGAAATGGGCTGCACACATTGTACCCATGTGGGGGATGGAACCCTGGTTTTCGACGTGACGAGCCAACGCTTTACCCACTCGGCCCCCGGCCATGTTTATATGGAGAACCTGATATGAGGGGGAGCGCGCAGGCGAAATTGAGTGCCACTCACAAAGCCCTGAATTCCACACCTCAATTAATGCGGGCAGCCATCTTACAGATGATCGATACCTAAATGATACACCTAATTACATATAATTACAACAACAGTTGATAAATACAATAAGGAATCCATGGCAATGACGAAGACAACCCGGAACCGTATAAACAGAAGGCATATATGCAATACCTAATGGTGATTAACGAACAAAAGACTTAAGACTTAATTAGATACAGGATTGCACTCAATCCAAATTATTCAAAAATATGGAACAATCTGAAGATATCATTTATGATGTAAATTTCACTTGCAATTTCTGGACTGTCAACTGAATTTGATAAAACAACTTATATTAATACTTAAACTGAACAAAACAGTTGTTTTGCATATATACGGATATGTCTAAATATATTTATATAGTTTAGTTCAGAACATTATGTACAGATGCTACAGGGGTGGCGGGGTAGCGTAGTGGTTAAAGCGTTCGTTCGTCACGACGAAGACCCGGGTTCGATTCCCCACAGCATGCTACAATATTTGTCCCCGCCATTTCTGGTTGTAAATCACTGGAATATGCTACAATTTTAACAATGTTTAAAAACACACGTAAAAATGTGGCAAACGTTAAAAATAATATTTTATACGAAATTGGAGATTACATAAATGGAGTCATCTGATCTTCAGAAAGCAGGAAATTGCATGTGATTGGATCGGGCGGTCAAGGTTGCGTAAAACTAAACTCAGTCAGTCAGTCAGTCTTTGTTAAGGGTTTGTTTGTTTGTTTGTTTGTTTGCTTGTTTGTTGGTTAACGCCGCACTCAGCAATATTCCACCTATATGACGGCGGTCTGTAAATAATCGAGTCAGGCCTAGACAATCTGATCAAAATGATGAACATTGATCTATGCAACTGGGATACGATGACTTGTATCAACAAAGCAGCGCGCTTGACCACCCGATCCCGTTAGTCGCCTCTTACGATAAGCATGGGTAACTGAAGACCAATTCTAACCCGGATCTTCACGGATGTTGTTAATGGTACACAGACGGCTATCAGTTCAGTCAGGTGTTATCCTCAGTCTTTGAACAATTGGACTTCAGTGGGATATACGCGTATTCTTATATTGTTTCTCAAAGTGTGACTACACGATAGCTTTTAGAAAGTGTTCAAATGTCATAATCACTTTCTTAGTAAAGTAAACATTCTTCTTTGAGTGGCATTTTAGAAGTTGGGAAGTACAATATATAGAACAAACTTTATGGATAACAACTTCTTATATTTCGTGAGTGCGACGTTTCGATGCAGATCCTTGTACCGTTGTCAAGCTAAAAGAAGTTTTTATTTCATTTTTTTTAAATAATCAATTTTAATGGCGGCTCTTTGTAAATAATTACATAAAGAAATAACTGAGTGAGTTTAGTTGTACACTGTCACTCATCAGCCATATTCCAGTAACGCGTGATGATCTGGTCTGTAAATAGGTCATAAAGAACTAAATACGGTACTGTATATTGTCTGTCAGTCTAATCTGACTGGGCTGACACGTCATGATCAATTGCGTAGAATCGATGCTTTGGTGCTGTTGACCACTGGATCATCATCGCATCCCAATTGCGTAGATCGATGGTTATGCTGTTGATCACTACGAATTCGAAGGAAGATATGAGAAGTAACCTCCAGAGACTTGAAACTTTTTTTCATTTGTTTTTATTAGCATAGGGGACAGATGTTACATATCCGATACATGAGTACATATATATAACGAGATGTTACACTGCTACTATGTGAATACAAATATATCCATTTCACATATAGATGAAGATATTATCTACGGATGTGAAAGTAACATCCTCGGAAATGTACAGCATTTGCTTTACATACTACGTATATTGAAAAATTAGGGCAAATATAGGATAATTACTAGAAAGTGAAAGTGTGGAAATAGGAGAGGAGAGGAGAGGAAAGAGTAGATGAGAATGGAGGGAAAAGACGGGGAGGGCGTGTTGGTGGCTGCGTGTTACGCTGTAAGTGTCGGCATCAATGTTGACCATTTATGTTTTAGTGTGGTTTTGGCAGAGCCGTAAATATATTTTTCAATGAAATAATTTTGCTTGATATTTTTATCGAACCTTGGAAATGCAAATTTGTTTCTTTATCTTTACCCGTATAAATATACATGTTGAGAATGTTATACCAATGGTTTAACAGAAGGCTTTGATTGGGGTCTCCAAGTAAGATAAATGATTTTGATATTTTTAATTTCGTCTTGGTTGTTTCTTCAAACCATATTCGAAACTGTCTCATCAGATTTTGAGTTTTCCTGCAATCATAGAAAATATGTTCAAGTGTTTCTGGTTCCTCAGTGCAGAAGAAGCAGTGCCTGCTGCCAGATATCCCAGTTTGTGTTGTTAAAATGCGATGAATTTTATACTGAAAGGTTATTATCAACGCAACAGTGTATTGAATATGGTTATTAGCAGACAGGCAGGCAGACACATAGATGTCAATAAAACAGACATTGAGTTTTCTCTGTGACAACGACATATCTATATCACAGTTAGAAATTCTGTCAACGCTAAATAATGACATTGCTTTTAAGTATCGAACTGAGAAAGTGACTCGGTAAGAAGAACGTGTGGTGAAATAGACAAATGAAATTATATAAACAGTTAATCTACTGTCATAACATATAAAAAGCTCGCGCCTGTGAAATATCAACAAAACATCAGAAAAATAGCTCACACCAAAGCCTTCATCGAGTATTCACCGGACAACCTATTTCACTGCGCACGTGCTATGAGCGCAGCCCACCTGTTGAAACCATTTGAATTCCCCCAAGCGCTGGGGGAAAATTAGTGAATCGTTTGAACTTTATAAGTTGAATTTGCATTTTTGATGATTTGTTTCGGTAAGTCCATACCGAAAGGTATCAGAATCTGCAAAGTTGTGTTTTACGTGTCATGTGACCTTTAAAGACTTAATTATATACAGGATTGTATTCAATCCAAATTATTCCCAAATATGGAACAATCTGAAGATGTCATTTATGATGTAAATTTCACTTGCAATTTCTGGACTGTCAACTGAATTTGATAATACAACTTATATTAATGCTTAAACTGAACAAAACAGTTGTTTTGCATATATACGGATATGTCTAAACATATTTATATAGTTTAGTTCAGAACATTATGTACAGATGCTATAGGGGCGGTGGGGTAGCGTAGTGGTTAAAGCGTTCGTTCGTCACGACGAAGACCCGGGTTCGATTCCCCACATGGGTACAATATGTGAAGCCCATTTCTGGTGTCCCCCGCCGTGATATTGCTGGAATATTGCTAAAAGCGGCGCAAACTAAACTCACTCACTCACTCACAGATGCTACAATTTTAACAATGTTTAAAATAACACATTTTATACAAAATTGGAGATAACATAAATGGAGTCATTTGATCTTCAGAAAGCAGGAAATTGCTTGTGATTGGATCGGGCGGTCAAGGTTGGTGTCTTTGTTAAGGGTTTGTTTGTTTGTTTGTTTGTTTACTTGTTTGTTGGTTAACGCCGCACTCAGCAATATTCCACCTGTATGACGGCGGTCTGTAAATAATCGAGTCTGGACCAGACAATCTGATCAACATGATGAACATCGATCTATGCAACTGGGATACGATGACTTGTATCAACAAAGCAGCGCGCTTGACCACCCGATCCCGTTAGTCGCCTCTTACGACCAGCATGGGTAACTGAAGACCAATTTTAACCCGGATCTTCACGGATGTTGTTAATGGTACCCAGATGCAATCAGTTCAGTCAAGTTTTATCCTCCAGTCTTTGAACAATTGGACTTCAGTGGGATATACGCGTATTCTTATTTTGTTTCTCAAAGTGTGACTACACGATGGATTTTAGAAAGTGTTCAAATGTCATAATCACTTTCTTAGTAAAGTAAAAGTTCTTCTTTGAGTGGCATTTTAGAAGTTGGGAAGTACAATATATAGAACAAACTTTATGGATAACAACTTCTTATATTTCGTGAGTTCGACGATTCGATGCAGATTCTTGTACCGTTGTCAAGCTAAAAGAAGGGTTTTAGATTTCATATTTTTAGAATAATCAATTTTAAAAACAGCTCTTTCGGTTTAATTACATAAAAGAAATAACTGAGTGAGTTTAGTTTTACACCACACTCATCAGCCATATTCCAGTAATATGGCGGCGGTCTGTAAATAATACATAAAGAAATAAACTCGGTATACTGTATATTGTCTGTCAGTCTAATCAGCTGGTAACACGTGATGATCTGGTTAAGAATAGGTCGTTTGGAACTAACTGGATGGTCTACTCCCATTTGCGAGAACTCCCAGTTGCGAGACTCCCAGTTGTGAGACAGTGGAGAAGGTAAGTAGCAAAGAAAACACACCTTACTCCCCTATCTGATAGAATGGATTAACCCCAGCTAATTAGGGATTAGCTATTTAACTGAATCTTGTGGAGGTAGCTTAAAAGATAAAGATAAAGTAATTAACCTACTCAGATAAATAGCTTTAAAAAATAAACACTTTGTGTAGGTAACTTCGTGATCATTTGAAAGAGAAATTAATTTACCTACTCAGATTTACGTGCTTGAAATATCTAGCAATAACTATTGTAACTATAATTAATCCAAATGTATTTATTAACCTGTGACTGCTCTTTCCTATCGCCGTTATGGCAGGCCTTCAACAAGTAGAATACATCACCAGTTCACGAGGCAGTATTCAGGTGCTCTTTCAGGGTAACCTGTATTACAAGAACAAGCAGCAGCAGACTTGTACCTATTGGAGATGTACAATACGAACGTGCAACGGCACAATCTCCAAATATGGACCCATGTAAAAAAGTGTTTTATAATGACACACAAACATCATAATAACGCAAATCATCAAAATGTGTGAATAAAAAATGATAATGAAGTATTTAATGAACTATTTCTTCTGTGTAAATATAATGATAATCTTTTTCAGTATTTCAGTATTAATCTTCTTCTTTATTGAAAACAATAAATGCTCTTCAATGAACAATGTCTTCTGTGTCTCATTAATGAACTATGGCTCCTGCGGGTACTCTTCAGCAACAGGGCTGTTCCCACTTTCATCGTAGAGATTGGGAAGCACCACCTGTGTGCACTGAACCATTAATTAATGTGTCTCACAACTGGGAGTTCTCGCAAATGGGAGGACACCAACTGGATTGGAGGGTCGGGCTCGCTGACTTGGCTGACACGTCATCGCATCCCAATTGCGTAGATCGATGCTCGTGCTGTTGATCACTGGATTGTCTGGTCCAGACTTGAATATTCGCAGAATTTAACTGGACCGTCATGGCAGGGACTTTCTTTTTTTTCATTTTTTAATATTTTAGCATAGGGACAGATGTTACATATCCGATACATAAGTACATATACATAGCGAGATGTTACACTGCTACTATGTGAATACAAATATATCCATTTCACATAGCGATGAAGATCTTATCCACGGATGTGAAAGCAAAACATCCTCGGAAATGTACAGCATTTGCTTTACTACTATATTGAAACATTAGGGCAAATATAGGATAAGTACTAGGAGTAAAAGTGTGGAAATAGGGAGAGGAAGACAGGAGAGGGGGAAAGAGTACATGAGAATGAAGGGAATAAGACGGGGGAGGGGGCGTGTTGGTGGCTGCGTGTTATGCTGTAAGTGTCGGCATCAATGCTGACCATTTATTTTTTAGTGTGGTATTGACAGGGCCGTAAATATAATTTTCAATATTATAAATTTGCTTGATATTTTTTATCAAACCTTGGAAATGCAAATTTGTTTCTTTATCTTTACCCGTATAAATATACATGTTGAGAATGTTATACAAATGATTTAACAGAAGGCTTTGATTGGGGTCTCCGAGTAAGATAAATGATTTTGATATTTTTAATTTCGTCTTTGTTGTTTCTTCAAACCATATTCGAATCTGTCTCATCAGAGTTTGAGTTTTCCTGCAATCATAGACAAGATGTTCAAGTGTGTCTGGTTCCTCAGTGCAGACAAAGCAGTGACTGCTGTCAGATATCCCTATATTAGGAAGGAAGGTTTGTGTTGCATATATACGGATATGTCTAAATATATTTATATAGTTTAGTTCAGAACATTATGTACAGATGCTACAGGGGTGGTGGGGTAGCGTAGTGGTTAAAGCGTTCGTTCGTCACGACGAAGACCCGGGTTCGATTCCCCACATGGGTACAATATGTGAAGCCCATTTCTGGTGTCCCCCGCCGTGATATAGCTGGAATATTGCTAAAAGCGGCGTAAAACTAAACTCAGTCAGTCAGTCAGTCTTTGTTAAGGGTTTGTTTGTTTGTTTGTTTGCTTGTTTGTTGGTTAACGCCGCACTCAGCAATATTCCACCTATATGACGGCGGTCTGTAAATAATCGAGTCAGGCCTAGACAATCTGATCAAAATGATGAACATTGATCTATGCAACTGGGATACGATGACTTGTATCAACAAAGCAGCGCGCTTGACCACCCGATCCCGTTAGTCGCCTCTTACGATAAGCATGGGTAACTGAAGACCAATTCTAACCCGGATCTTCACGGATGTTGTTAATGGTACACAGACGGCTATCAGTTCAGTCAGGTGTTATCCTCAGTCTTTGAACAATTGGACTTCAGTGGGATATACGCGTATTCTTATATTGTTTGCTCAAAGTGTGACTACACGATAGCTTTTAGAAAGTGTGCGACGTTTCGATGCAGATCCTTGTACCGTTGTCAAGCTAAAAGAAGTTGTATCCATAACGTTTGTTCAATATATTGTAAAACTTCTTGTACATGTTCATCGAATTCCATCCGGGATTCCAACTAAAATTCTCACAGTGAGCACACAAGGTCACCGATATGACCCGATCTTGTGATATGCGCTCTCTTTCAAAGTCTGTTCTGATTTTATTGTTTGACGAAAACATGTGTTTTATGAATGTCAATATATCAAAGATATATTTAAGAAAACGTTTTGAATTCCAGCATTTATATGAGATCGCGAGAATGCTAAAAGGTAGTCACATATGAAAACATATGCATGTCTGCCATCTGTAACCTATTTCACTCTTTTGTGTTCACAGAAAACGTTTGAGCAGTGTGTTGCTACCCACACTATACTTTTATATGTATTTTACTCCGCTCTCGTGCCTCGAGAAGATGTTTTGCATAAAGTATTTCTAAATGTCATTGTAAAGTGTTTACTTCGGTAGCGTCCTCGGGTCGAAAACCGATTTTCTTTTTAAAACAACCCAACATTTATAGTAGGTTCGCTTCAAACGCATAAACTGACTCATTGTATGCAAACCAGTAAAGTGATAAAAGTAATTTTACTTTTTGGAAATATTGGTTTGGTGCGTTTCCGAACTATCTCAGTTCCAGCTGTTGAAGCTGTGAGTGGGTGTGGCTTTCCTTGGTCTTCAGCAATATTCCAGCAATGTGTGCTTTATGTTACAGGTTACAGATCTGACTTTGATGACAGCTCCTGTTCTATCTTACTTAAACATGAATGATTTTGTAGCTCCAAATATTGTTCTATTTAGTACTTGGCATGAAGTCTGAAGTCTCTTCCTTAATGTGCATGTTTAGTAGGACTACATATTATACAAATGGACATAATATATATATAGCAAATTGGTCTTTTTCAATTTTATCTATTAAAGATGGATAAATATGTTATCTGTTTTATTTTCTCATCATGCTATTTAATCCGAAAATAGAATTTGGCATCACATTGTATAGTGATTACGAAGTCAAGATTTTGTCTTGGAAACATGCCATGCAACATGGCCTCTCTCAAAGGTTAAAACGACACAGCATTTGCTAGCATCATATTCCTCTCGGCAACAAGAAATCCCCATGGATATTGGAATTCACCGTAGCCTTATCCCACTCTTCCCTTCAGAAACACACCTCGGGATTCCAGGCCTATTTCTGGAGCTGAGGCCCTCCAAACATTCCCAATCATTCTTGACTTGAGTTATGACTCCTTTTCTATTCTATTCTAGGACACATACTTCCATTCCATGCCTAAGATGTCCAAAGTTCAATGTCTTCAGCAACACATTCCTGTAGCAAAAGGTAGTTAACTGGATCGGGTAGACAGCAATTGGCCAGTGTTCTAACATCCCAAATTGTAATACTAATTACAGAATCTCAGATCTGGATCTGGGAGAAAGGAGTTATTTTGTACACTTTGGGGAAACTTTGTAAATTACTTATTTCATGCGTTCACAGGAATCACATTCAAAAATATACTTCAATTACCTTACAGGGACGGATACAGCTTTTTGAGAAGGGGTGGTGGTGTGCACACTATTGAGAAAAGGAGGGGTGCACACTTCATTTTCACCCAAGTTTCAATGGTCATTTAACAAACTTTCAGCACAAAGGGGTGGATGAGGTGCGCACCACTGCAACCCCCACCTCTGGATCCGTCTGTGCCTTAAGTAAGCATTAAGATTGCTACTAAGAAAAATCGGTAAACCGGAAGTCCAAGCCGAGACAGTGAGAGGTTTGGAACAGCATTGGCTGTCAACTTACGGGAGGAAAGTCTGACATCAGTGTGCGAAATTTACGCTGGTCCTGTGGTCCCTGTCTAGTAAAAACTTCACCAGGACCACTAAATGATAAGTTTGCAGTGGTCCTGGTGGCCAGTGAATTTAGTATTGATAGTTGAGTAAATCTAAGTAAATCGATTATCTAAGCCACATCACATCCTACAGCCACATCACTGAGAGGGGCTTGAACATCTAACCAACCAGCTATGAAGAACATCAGCAATGGTGATCCCCAGCATGCAGCCTGACTCACTTCAGGACCCCGTCCAAAAATAACAAGACCTCAAACACTGATCTTATGTTTATACAAAAAAAAGAGAAGATTATGACATGATCATGAGACAATTCAAATTGGTTACATCCTTCACATGACAAAGTGACCAACAGCTTACATTGCGTGATGTACATCTACAGGCTTCCTCTTCTACAAATACACAATAATATACTCGTTCAGCACCAAACTGACAACTGCCACCCCCTACCAATACTAAACCCCGTATCTCAGTGGGCTAGCCTTATAAAACCAGCTTAAGACTGGTCTAGTACAAGCAGCCGCACATACACTAACACACGCATGAGCGAAATATTCTCAAGCACGACATTAAACCCAATTTCACCTCACCTCACCAATACTAAACCCCATATTGTCTACCCTGCCACAGCACCAATAAAATCAAAATCATATCACGAAAACAATTAACAACAGCAATTCATTATGCTGTATATTTTTAAACAATGTGTGTTGAAAACATTAAAACTGTCTGGAATATAATCAACAAAATCTGCAAATGTAAATTTTAACAAATATCCCAGCCTTGCATCTTTTGATTCTTACTTATAGACTGTATTGAAAAAAACCATGTATTTCAATATCTTTTGAAAAAGGTATCTGTATTGTGATACCTTGGGACTTCAGTGTTTCATAGCGATTGACACTGAATGTATGTGATCCCATTCTCTACATACAAGAGTAAATAAAACTCAGCATGTCAGTTGATGCCATTTTGTTGTCATGGATCCATTATTCCTGTAAGGAAACTTCATTTGGGAAATAATTTCCAAGTCGTTTTAAGGTTAAATGATACAAATAACACCATATTTTTACCCCAAAGTGTTAAGAAGTATACTGGCAATACAGTTTGTTACTCTTAAGATAAATTTGTCGAATTCTGATTGGTCAGTAGTCAAAGCATACAAAACCATGTAGGCGGATTTGCCAGGGTGTACACAGTGTATTGCTAGTTGTATACTGGCAATACTGTGAATTCCCAGTAGCATACTGGCAACACTGGGAATTCCCAGTAGCATACTGGCAATACTGTGAATTCCCAGTAGCATACTGGCAATACTGTGAATTCCCAGTGGCATACTGGCAATACTGTGAATTCCCAGTGGCATACTGGCAATACTGTGAATTCCTAGTAGCATACTGGCAGTACTGTGAATTCCCAGTGGCATACTGGCAATGATGTGAATTCCCAGTGGCATACTGGCAATACTGTGAATTCCCAGTGGCATACTGGCAATACTGTGAATTCCCAGTGGCATACTGGCAATGCTGTGAATTCCTAGTGGCATACTGGCAATACTGTGAATTCCCAGTGGCATACTGGCAATACTGTGAATTCCCAGTGGCATACTGGGCAATACTGTGAATTGGCAACACTGTGAATTCCAGTGGCATACTGGCAATACTGTGAATTCCCTAGTGGCATACTGGCAATACTGTGAATTCCCAGTGGCATAGCATACTGGTACTGTGAATTCCCAGTAGCATACTACTGTGAATTCCCAGTGGCATACTGGCAATACTGTGAATTCCCAGTGGCATGCTGGCAATACTGTGAATTCCTAGCAGTGGCAGCTGGCAATACTGTGAATTCCCAGTGGCATACTGGCAATGATGTGAATTCCTAGTAGCATACTGGCAATACTGTGAATTCCTAGTGGCATACCTGGCATACTGTGGCAATACTGGCAATACTGAATTCCCAGTGGCATACTGGCAATACTGTGAATTCCCAGTGGCATATGTGAATTCCCTAGTGGCATACTGGCAATACTGTGAATTCCCAGTGGCATGCTGGCAATACTGTGAATTTCCAGTGGCATACTGGCAATACTGTGAATTCCCAGTGGCATACTGGCATACTGTGAATGCTGTGAATACTGTGAATTCCTAGTGGCATACTGGCAATACTGTGAATTCCCAGTGGCATACTGGCAATACTGTGAATTCCCAGTGGCATGCTGGCAACACTGTGAATTCCCAGTGGCATACTGGCAATGATGTGAATTCCTAGTAGCATACTGGCAATGATGTGAATTCCTAGTAGCATACTGGCAGTACTGTGAATTCCTAGTAGCATACTGTCAGTACTGTGTATGGCTAGTAGCATACTGGCAATACTGTGAATTCCCAGTGGCATACTGGCAATGGTGTGAATTCCCAGTAGCATACTGGCAATACTGTGTATGGCTAGTGAGGTGAGGCGAGGTGAAATTGGGTTTAACGTCGTGCTTGAGAATATTTCGCTCATATGACGACGTGCATGCGTGTGTATGTGTATGTGCGGCTGCTTGTACTAGCCCAGACTTAAGCTGGTTTTATAGTGCGACAGTGAAGCATGAATACCCCACTCAGACACATTATACTGACCCCAAGCCGACCAGTCCTTGTTGTACCCATTAATGCAGAGCGCCAGGCAGGGACCAACAAGTACCATATTTACTTGTTTTGGTATGACCTGTTAATGAACTCCGCGAAGCCAGGCAGGGGCAGACTGTGTATGGCTAGGAGTATACTGCCAATACTTTGCATTGCGAGTAATATACTGGCAATACTGTGAATTTCAAATAATGAGAAACATGAACACAACAACAAAGGGTTATTGTGCATACAAATGAATAATTTTTATGGATGATTGTTGAAGATCGCTAGATATAATCCTTGTTGACTTAAAGAATGAGGGAAAACTGATGGAAATATGACATGTTGTCATTTCGCATTCATTCAACTATCTCCTTACTTTGTTACACATTTTCATTATTTTCATACCAGTCAATCTCGTCAGCAATATTTTCTATGTAAACACTCTCTTTAACATCGCAGTCAACCAACTCATCACTGTCAACCATTTCCGTTTTGTGAGACATATCATAAATATCATCACTGTCAACCACTTCTTCAATATCATCATCTATATTACCATTGTCACAATTATCATCTTCAACCAGTTCATCATTTTCATGTACGTCATCATCATAACAGATATTACTTTCATCAACATCCCTTTTCTTGTTCACATTGTCTTTGTTGACAATAAAGTTTTTAGCAAAACGTGGCTTGTCAACAGTTCCTTCATCAACATCAGTTATGACACTGTCAACAACACCATCACTGTGTATGACACCATTGCTGTCAACAATATTTCCAATGTCAATATGGCTACCAGCTATGTCAATATCTCTTGCTAGAGCTTTGATCTTCACTGGTCTTCCCCTTGTACGAGGTTTACAGATCCCCAACATGATTCTGGTATGATCCTTCATATGTTTACGGAAGTCGGAATCCCATTTGAACTTCTTGCCGCATGTCTCACACTTATGTCTCTCGCCTGTGTGTGTTCTCAGATGTTCCTTGAGAATTGATGTGCGGGAGAACATCTTGCCACATTCTCCACAAATAAAGGGCTTTTCTTGCCTGTGTTTAGCCATGTGCTGGTTGATACTTGACGAGTATGCAAATGACTTGCTGCACAATGTGCACTTGTGTGGGCGTTCCCCTGTGTGCACACGCATGTGTTCCGTGAGATTGCTGGAGTCACTGTAAGCCTTCTCACAGAGAGTACACTTAAACGGTTTCTCTCCAGTGTGAGACCGAATATGTCTCACAAGATTATCCGAAACAGTAAATGCTTTTCCGCAAATTTCGCACTTGAATGGCTGGACCCCATTATGGTATTTTATATGTCTGGTCAGGTTGCCGGAAGTCGAAAAAGCTTTATCACACATGTGACATTTGTACGGTTTCTCCCCCGTGTGAACTCTCATGTGTCTGGTCAGGTGTCCGGACACCGAGAAGCGTTTATCGCACACATCACATTTGAAGGACCCCATCCCTGTATGCAGTTTCATATGCCGGTCAAAGTTTGCAGGGGTCGAAAATGTCTTGTCACATACAGCACACTGGAGTGCCATCTTGCCATGCTTCTTCAAGTGTTTCTGTAAGCGCGCTGATTGCTGCTGAAGTCTTCGCTGCAGAAGCTGCAGGTGTACTGTGGTACATCTTCCGTCTCCATTCTTATGCTGTATTTACCGAGATCTGTGACCACTATCCATTATGCCACAAAGCTTTGAACAGGATGACAACTCCCCATTTTGGTCTTGGTTATATTGGTGAGTAGAATCAAACAGAAGATTTTCCAGAATGAATTTGCGGAAACACTGTAGTTTTTGGAATGTTGATCTGAAAAAGATCATGAAAATATTATTTAAGAGCATGATATTAAAGATGATACCAGAGGTGAAGTGAAATGGGGTTATTGCTAGGGATGGCTGAAAAGATTGATAATCGAAAATATTGTTAATGGAAAAGATTATCAATGACTATCAATATGAAAACTGTGTCCTCAAAAGTATACATGAACTTTTGCAAAGAAATAAAGTTTAATTTTCTCACATACTACTTAAAGTCAGGTCTTTATTCAAAGGCTGCTTCTAAAGTATCTTCAGGACTAATGGTTTAGTACGACATTGTTTTGGGCTGAACCAGTGACGTTCCCCTCTCCAGACAGATGCTCTATCCAGACAGATGCTCAATCAGAAGTGTACATGGAAGTGTATGATTGCTGCATTTTACCTAGGCATGATTCACCCGTGAAGATCCGGGGTAGAATAGGTCTTCAGCAACCCATGCTTGCCACAAAAGGCGACTATGCTTGTTGTAAGAGGGGACTAACGGGATCGGGTGGTCAGGCTCGCTGACTTGGTTGACACATGTCATCAGTTCCCAATTGCGCAGATCGATGCTCATGCTGTTGATCACTGGATTGTCTGGTCCAGACTCGAATATTTACAGACTGTCGCCATATAGCTGGAATATTGCTGAGTGCGGCGTAAAACTAAATTTACTCACTCACTCACCTAGGCATGATTCAATGTTGATAAAGAGAAAAAACTGAAATATTGTTGTGCGTAATCATTCTTAAGTCTTGATTTCCTGGAAAAATGAATTGTCTACAGTGAGGATGAAACTGCAGGATGATGATAATGTCTTGACTATGAACATACTATCAAAATGTTTACACTAGCATAGACAGGCAGCTTACTAATACAGCATGCATTGGACTTGTACACCATTACTGGCATTCTACCATGGCAGGGTATTACAACAGGAACAAATATATGACCTTTGTCTTCAATATATAGTCTAAAGCTTCATAGCTGTCAACTCCTGAGAGTTCCATTGAGTGAGAAACTGGGGTCCAGGGGGATGATCCCCCTCCAGTTAAAATTTATTTTTAGGTTATTTAAAGATGATTTTTTGGTCATTTGGTGCTAGTTTATAAAACCTTTCAATAATGTGTGAGTTTAGAGAGCTAATGCGTGAGTGCATGACATTGCATTGTGGTAAAATGTGTGAGTCACACGCAGATTGACAGGTATGACAGGTATGACCTTAGCTTCTTGAAACAGATACAACCTAACACACAAGATAACTCACTTAAACGTTTGAATGTTTTGAGTATGAAGCATCACTTTCGCACTATTAGACAACGGTAACTATGTCATCCTATGAGCTCCATATTTCACTTCAATGTTTTGACAGAAATGTACATGGGTCAGCATTTGCAAATTTCATAATTACACCTTTCAATAAAACAAAAACAAGTTGTAATTGTTGAAAGATCAAAAGTGGTTATACCAACTGTGTTTCTTTTTAATCGTACTTTCATTTTATCAGTGATTTACCGGCCTGATCTCTTATCAGCAAGTTTAACTTGAAGTTATATCAGGTGTCAGGTGAACGAAAATAGGACAACTACTGGTACTGACAGCACCAGGAACATGAAGACTACGCAGAGGTTTGTCACGATGCTACCTATATATATTGAGCCGTAAACAGGTTATTCATGTCCACACACAGCCATTCACCTAAGGCGTGAACCGATAAACAAAACATACCCATGCAGTCGTTACCATTATGCCATGAAAGTGAGTCTGAGTTCTGTAATGATGGGGAGACAATTCTGTCAGTACTGAAGCATTTCAAAATCCTCTGTCGTTGCACTCTTCCATCAGCCGCGCAAGATCGAATCCCTTATGCGCTTTCTGTTGTTTTCGAATGGCATTTTATTAATGTTTGGCCTACCTACAGAATGCAGCACCACAAACTTTAAAGTTCCTCTTGTTTCCCCACCCCAAATAATATTTATAAATTAATATATACTAAAATTATTAACAAAACCTGACACAACAATTACTGGAGAACTCAAAAAATAACTAAAAGCCCCAAAATTAATTACAATATACATGTATAGGGTCAAACCACACTGCGTTACCTCTGTAATCGGCGGAAGAAAGAAATGGTAATATGGGGGAACGGAAGGAGGTGAGGTGAAATTGGGTTAACGTCGTGCTTGAGAATATTTCGCTCATATGACGACGTGCATGCGTCTGTATGTGTATGCGCAGCTACTTGTACTGGTTTTATAGGGCTAGCCCACTGAGATACCATGCGGCAGTGAAGCATGAATACCCCTCTCAGACACATTATACTGACTCCCAGCCGACCAGTCCTTGTTGTACCCATTTATGCCGGGCGCCAGACAGGGACCAACAAATACCATCGTCATTTTAACGTATTTTGGTATGACGCGGTTGGGGATCGAACCCGCGATCTTCCGCTCTGCGGGCGGACGCTCTAACCACTGTGAACGGAGGGAACTCTTTCCACTTTAACAATATACAGATACGTCATGTACGTCATTTACGTAATTTTATGTGTGTGATTGCCATTTTAGAAGAAGCTATTTGATGAACATAAAGAATTTTCAAGGTTTCATCTTCTTTTTATTGTTTGGTACAACGTTTCAGGGCTTGTTCTGGCCTCATTATCATGTAGAACCTGTTTACGGTTCAGTTCTACCTGATGCAGGCCAGAACAAGCCCCGAAACGTTGTACCAAACAATATAAAGAAGATGAAACCCACAAAAAATGTTATGTTCATAATTTTATGTGATTTTGTTCCAAAGTATGTTCTTGAAACAATGCCTTATGACGCAGGCATAGCAACAAGGTTGTCTGGCTCAGCGAGTGCGTAAGCCGAAATACTCTTGAAACTTAAGTTATCCTATCCTGCTTTTTTTAACAAATTGTGGATGAACATATAGAATTTTCTGGATTTCACCTTCTTTTATTCTTTCGAACAACGTTTCGAACTCCATCATTTCTCGAAACAAACTTAAGTTTTTACTCAAATTTCAAACTGAAACAGTTTGACAATTTGAAACAGCTGAATTTTTAACTCAATTACACTTTTAAAATAATAAAGCCCAAACAACTTAAGTAATCTATCCACCAAACTCAAATTGTCTACTGTGAATGAGTTTGATATCGATTTCAGTTCATTCTGGGAAATGCGTTTTCCTCGTGCTCCTGGATGCCGACTATTTTTTTTTCAGGCGCACATTTTCATAAGGTTTGAAAAGTGAACGTTGTGCGAGAATTGCGCTCGCGTGGTTGGATCTGCGTACGGCTATAAAATTACACAGAAATGTAGAATATTAAATTTCCTATCCTTTGGTATAAACAGACCTCACAACGACCTCAAAACGACCTCGTAAGGACCTTTACGACCTTAGTTAGATTTTAGTTCGACTTCAGTCGACCTGTCTCGACTTAGGTCGGCCAAGTTGAGAAGACCTATACTCGACCAGCTAGACTTGTATATCGACCTAATTTCGAATTAATTTCGTCCGAAGTCGACCGGCCTGACATCTACGCGACCTGTGATCAACTGGAGCGACCGGTTCTCGACGGAAATTCCATTTTTCTGCCGAGAAGACCCTTGGTTTCCAAACTGTATAAATTACAGGGTGCATTTTCACCAGGTACCCATTCAATTAGAGTACTGCAAAGTAGTAACATCACCAGCAGGAACCTTGACGTAAACCTGGTGAGCCCCGAGAAGCGAAGACTGGTTACCACTTGGGTGCAGACAGCCTGGCACCTGCTTGAACTGGTGGATTACCTGGAGAATGCCAACCCTCCTCCAAAGACAAAGCCGTACATCAATCCCACCCTTGACACCTCCAAAGCTGAGTATCGGGCAGATGAGTAGGATCAGAGCAGATGTAATACTGTAGCCCGTGCTTCCAAGGAAAGGTGGCAATTTCCATATCTCACCGGTGCGTTTGATGGCACATACGCATCAAGAAGCCTCCCAAAAATGGGTCCCTCTTCTACTACTACAAGAACTTCTTCTCTATCTTCTTGCTGGCACTCGCAGATGCCGACTACAAGTTCCCGTGGGTCAACGTCGGGGCCAAGGTATCAGTATCAGACGCTGATGGTCTTCAACTATTCACGAGATCGGATGGAGGGCGATGGCCTTGTATTCCCCGTATGGTGTGCCATACGTCATCATCGGCGACGATGCCTTTCGATCCGCCCCTGGATGATGAAGTCCTTTTCCATGCGTCAATTGGACCCCGATCAGCAGAGATCTTCAACTGCAGGTAATTATTCTTTTCCATAAAGGCCTAAATCAAGTTATAACTTAGTATCTTTGGCTGTATGCAATATTATATCAAAGGTTTTGAATTTTGAATGCATTTGACTTGAAGGGCAAGTGTACACGAAAATTAACCTTTTTGTCCATCACTTTCTCATCATAAAAAGTGTTTATCAAGTAGTTTTATATCCAAACCCGTACATATATCAGAAGTAACTAATTTATTATTTGCGTTATATCAATTCATATTTTCAACATTTACCAAGAGTTCTATGTCCACAATAAACACACCATGGCTTATGTCCCTTGGAAATGACGTCATTGGTGCCCAAACGATAAACGAATGATGTCGTCAGACCTTATTAGACCCATTTCACGTGGTGCAGGTATAGGTGTGGTTCTTGTGTCTCGATGCGCAGGCTACTGTTTTAATCCACTTGTTGCTTGGCCGTCAGCTGACTATGTGGTCAGTTCTACACTATAATAACGTTGCAGTTTGAAAAAACGTATACATTGTAATAAAAGTGTTACCGCGTAACCAAATTGTATAACATATTCCACCTGAGTCGGTCGCCTTTACAACAGTAACTTTTTTCATGAAACCTAAAACGTATATCATATATGCACTACATCTTGCTTGCCATCGGTGAATGTGCCGGCATTCTACGTTTGTTACTTAAGTTCATACATAAATCGTACGATATGTCACTCCTCTTCCACCTAATTCACTTTGATATCGATAGTACATATCCAAATACATCACGCAGATAAATGCAATTTGCAGTTTTGAACACTGTTTGAAATTCGTTTTTCTGTGATATCATCCGTTCACTGTAGATAAAATTTACTGAAAGTTACATGCATCGTAAATCTCGCCAGTTTTGACACATTACTAAATCACCATTGTCACTGCATGCGTTTTGCGTAATTTATGGTATGTCTTAATTCAAATGTCAAATTTTACTGGGAGAATTGAATTTAAAAGAAAAAGACGTGATCATTGTGATCAGCGGTAGTTTTGTTGTTGTATGATCGAATCACCAATGCTCGTTCTGAAACATTATCGATGAACCGAGAATAGCTGAGAATGTTTTGGAAAATACGCAAACGTCAAAATGAATTTTCAGCCATATTGTACATAGTGTTTATAAAATCGTGTCACATGTATGTCGGTTATGTTTCGTCCATAAAATCCCATCACCATCTTCCTTACATGAATCCCTGAATTCCTCTTACAGTTCAAAATAAACTGACAATTGGACTTTGTCACCAAAAGAAAGTGTTTCAGTGAAATCTTTTAAAAGAAGTATATCGAGGATATGAGATGCCGCGCTGTGAAAGAATACTTGGTTGAAATGTATACAAAGCCAATCTCAGATTTTACACTGTGTATCTGTTCGCCTACTTGTTGCATACAGTTGCTCATTAGTTTTAGAACATGCTTGGGAAAGGTATCGTAGCAAGCGATAGTTAAATAAAACAGGTGTATTCCAATGATTATCTAGATTCATCACAACATATAACAGTATTTGAAAGCAGGACGCCATAACTGACGCACAACGATAACGGTACTTCTCTTAATTTTTGACTATTTCCCTTGGTCACAATGAAAACAAAAAGAAAATAACAACCAGCAGACTGACAGAATTTTCGGACTACTTACATGTCACATTTATGCATATACGTTACTTGAAACAACGAAATGTCCTTCGAAAACTCCGGCGTACTCGTGTCAGTGAACACGCCATTTTGAAAAAGTCGCTTCCCGATAGTGATGTCATACGGACGTCAACATTGTTATACATATTTGGTATTTTCATTGAGGCGAGGTTATGAATGAAAATACACACGATCAATCTCTCCTGCTGCTTACATTTTCTGTTCTTATGCTTCTTTCGTATTTTAACAAACTTTTTTTCACGTGATTAATGTCAGTATTATTATCTATTGATTTGGGACTAGACGGGAGACCAGTTTAAAATCAAGTGGCACCAATTACGTCATAATCAAAGGGTGGTAACTCTGGCCTGTTTAGCTCGGCAAACAAATACCTCATATTGGCATAACATTTCAGCACATATTTTGAGAGTTATACTTATATTGTAAGAAAAATGAGTGTATATTTTCAAACATTGGTATTAACTAATTAGAACAGTTCACTTTGATTCACATAAGAATAAATGTGATTTATTCGTGTACACTTCCCCTTTAAAAATGTTTAATTTGTGACTTTTACAGACTGTCTCGGGCCAGACGAGTGGTGGAGAATGCCTTCGGGATTCTGGTTGTGAGGTTCCAGATCCTCCTCGGCTCCCTAAATAGCACTGCAGACAGAACTGAACAGATAACCCTGGCCTGCGTCACTTTACACACCATGCTGAGAACGAGGAACCGGAACAGTCAGATGAACTTCATAGGTCATGAAAGTGACTAAAGTCTAAAAATTGCTTAAGTCCGTCATTTTGATCTTAGTCCAAAAAATTGTCCTAAATCGGGCATCAGGTACATTTTTTA